TAGAATGTACATGGGGAACAGGACTGTAAATGAAAGTGCTACCTGACTTTTTTTTTTACTCAAAATGTTATGCTGATGATATAATTTGTAATGAAACATTTCACATTACATGAGCAAAATTCAGAATAGAAGCATTTTCACTAGTGCTCTCATGCTCATTGTTCGTGTGTCGCCCCCAAATCAGTCATATTAAACGAGTGTTAAGGGTTTGGTTTGTGACCATCTAATTCAAATACTAATTGCCAGGCCAAAGGACAACTATAATGGCGGTTATCCGAGAGGCTCCCTTGTCTTTGAAGAAATGCTACTCAGACAAAAGTCCCAATTACACCCAATTGTTGTGGGGCTCGGAAACAGGCAGCGCCTCCTCGAGACTGAAACAAAATCCTGGTCTGCGGTAAGCCTGCGGTTTCTTCACCTTTTTGTAGCTTCTATCTCTCTCCATTGGGCCAGACACCCCAAGTGTGAGGCTTACTCCAAAACCACTGTTAAATGAGTATAGAGTCCCCCTTCAGATTCACAGTGAAGGAGTCTGCTTTCAAAGACACACTAGAGGATCCTTTTGAAGAGCGAGCAGCCCGAGGTTACTCATCCATGGACTCAATGAATCCATTCAGAGTGGGGTACTCATACACAGACAGACTCAACAATAAGTGTTTGCTCACAAGAGGGTACCCAGTGCAAGAAGACCGAGCCGTGTCATCACTCGACAACTGTCCATCATCTCACCATTAGCTTTTAAGGTGATTCAACATCTAAGAAAGAAACGCTTGAATATTTAAGACTAGTGAAGCATTCAAATCATTTGAAGTCGTTGCATTTTCCTCAGTTGATTCATGGAGTTCATAACGGAGAGATTTCGGTCCTGAGACCATGCATATTGGATCACATGAGCATTAGATTGACAATCTTTACAACAAATCCTCATAATCAACTTTTTTTTAACAGAAAGTAGTACATAACTGACACATTGATACAAAGGCTCACTAAGGATCTTCTATACTCCAACATTGTTCGGCTTGCGGCCCGAGCAGCTTGCGTTCAACTTCATGATTTACCGCTTTTTTTTTGTCCCCTTGTATTCGATGAGGGACTAAAACCCCGAGGATATTTTTCCTCCTGCTTTTGGAGGAGCTGATGTTTCTTATGATTGTTCACTGAAGTGAATCAGCCACCACAAAACACTGCAGCACATTGAGACCACTAGCAGAGGGCACAAGGAAGGTGACGAATTGGCAGTGAGAATGAACTTAATCCCCTAAGCTCTTGTTGGGGCTTGTCTTTGCTGTCCCTTCTTCCCTAGAAAAGATCCCAAACTTACAAAGCAACTCAACAAGAGCTCCCACTCGGGGCTTGCTGAATGCAAGAAAAAAAAAAAACTGGTACATATGTCTGTTCTGCCAACAGTATGGGGAATGAGCTTACAGGTGCAATTTTTTTTGTCAAACTTGGAATTGGTAACATTTAGAAAACCAATGCCAGGAATTGAAAAACAATACCAAATTAGAAGAAAAAAAAAATCAAAACAAAATATGAAAAATATGTAAATATTTCAACGAATACATGGCTTGAAACAATAGTTCCCTATCAGGGAACTTCGAGCTGCGTGTAAATGCTGTGGGAACGCCCCTGCATTGTGCGTCATGAAGCACTTATGGAATCAGTCCAATGGAGAGACGGAACGTCATAGGCGGGTGACGTCATCGACCAGGAAAATATAAAGCACACCGAAAACACAAGCGCAACAGCTTCTGTGCCTTCAGAAAGCACTATGTGTGAATCTGTCTGAGTGTAAACACTGTGTCGGTCCTTAGTATTTGCTAGGCAGGAGTTATCACAATTTACACCACACAAACAATTTTGTATGGTGTTCAATGGTGTTCAATTTCTATGGCGATTGCTTGTGCTATCTAATTGGTGGGGATACACACATTCTTTGTGTTGTTTGTTTGGGAGTGCAGCATGCCCAGTCAGCTATCGAAGGGACTTACTGCGAGTATTGTGAGCGTCTGCCTTTATGGACGCTCCGCTGAGTCCCGCTTTTGCCGAGGCTGAGCAGCGACGCTTATTGTGGGGATCGCAAATGGATCTTTCAGCGGGGTTAGAGACGGGCTCTGCCTTATCTCTGCCTTTACCTGTTAGATCCAGTGATCCTGAACCTCCACACCGGTGCTTGCCATTCTTTCATGATCTCCATACTGACGTATCGAGATTATGGAAAAAGCCAGCTTCTGACAATCATTTACAAAACAATAAAAGAAATATGGCGCTTTGCCGCGGGTAGAAGAGACACTTGCGAGCTCTCTCTCTTCCAAGGCTGCATCATCATTTAAAGCACCGCATTACATTCCAAGCCATTATGAAATATTTCGGCTTTGTAAAGTGTATTCATGACGTGAACGTGAGTGAGGAGGCAGTACTGCTGCCTCCTGAAGAAGCAGGCTGCTGCTTGCTCTTATTCCACGTTCTTGTTCAGTCAGACAACACATCGGTGGTCTCCTACATAAACCATCAGGGGGGTCTGCTTTCACGCCCGCTATACAAGTTGGTTTGCCAGATCATCCCATGGTCCCAGGGGAAGCTTCTTTCATTGAGGGCATTTATATCCTGGGGTGTTTAAATCAGGGGGCAGACATCCTGTCGAGGCAGGGTCCAAGGCCCGGGGAGTTGAGACTACACCCCAAGGTGGTGGAGCTCCTATCCAGCGAGCCCCTCTGGGGTTGGACGCGATGGTACAGGAGTGACCGAGGTCACCCCTGTATGCATTTCCCCTGATTGCTCTGCTCCCAGGATTTCTGGAGAGGGTTCACTAGGACGGGGTCAGTCTATTGCTGGTAGCCCCATGCTAGCCCCAATTTGGCTTGTTGACCTAATTTCTCACCTCGTCGGCTCTCCTCTGGAGATTCCGATCAGGAGGGACCTTCTCTCTCAGGTGAGCAGGTTGATACTTCACCCCTGCCCAGATCTATGGAGGTTGTTGGCGTAGCCTCTGAGGGGGCCCAGCTCATAGAATCTGCTCTCTCGACTGAGCTCTGGCCACAAGGAAATTACATGCCTTGAGGTGGAAAATGTTCACCTCTTGGTGTTAAGAACACCAGTTGGACCCAGTTAACTGCCCAGTGGATGCAGTGCAGGAATTCCTTCAGGAGCGTTTCTCCACAGGGTTATCCCACTCCACACTGAAGGTGTACATGGAAGCCTTATCTGCTTACCATGTCCCTTTGAGTGGAGCCTCTCTCGCGAGACACCCACTTGTAACTCGTTTCTTTTGTGGCACTTTGAGGACGAGGCCAGAAGTTCGCACGAGGGTGCCTAAGAAGGGCTGTCCTGCATCTAATCTCAGGTTGAGCAAGTGGGTAGTTGAGGCCATCTCACTTGCCTATGAGTCTGTCGGTCAGCCTTCTCCTTTGGCTGTCCGGGCTCATTCAACCAGGAGTATGGCTGCCTCTAAGGCTATCTTGTCAGGAGTATCTATCCGAGATGTTTGTGATGCGGAAGGTTGGTAAAGTTTTATCATTTTGACTTCAGCTCCAATCCAGGAGTGCAGGTGCTTTCGTCTGAATGTGCACTTTGACTTCACACTGGCGTTTTTGCGTGCCCACAGCGTTTACACGCAGCTCAAAGTTCCCTGATAGGGATCGTCTCTGGTTATGTATGTACAGTAACCTTGGTTCCCTGAAGGGAACGAGACGCTGCGTGTCTATGTCATACTCCCAGCATGCCCATTAGTGCTTCCTTCAGGCCTATCAGAAGCTGTTGCGCTTGTGTTTTTGGGGTGCTTTATAGTTTCCTGGTCGATGACATCACCCGCCTATGACGTTCCATCTCTCCATTGGACTGATTCCATAGGTGCTTCATGACGCACAGCGCAGGGGGCGTTCCCACAGCGTTTACACGCAACGTCTCGTTCCCTTCAGGGAACCAAGGTTACATACGTAATCAGAGACGGTTTTTTTTAATGTCAGTAAATTAAGTTTTTATTTTCTTCAGCATGTGAAAGAGGTGCTTAGCCTTTAGATGCAACCTAATGTTGATCACCGACCTCAAAGCTTGGGATATGTTTAAATATAGTTGAGACTTAAAGAATTAAAATACAATACTATTTTTATTAATAAATAAATTTTAATATATTTTTGAAATAAGTATAAAATTAAATTAAATATAACAATAATAATAATAATAATAATAAATGGGTAACAGTTATTTTGGGACTAAATATTGGTTCTGTAGGAACTTAAATAGTTTATTAAACATATCTAACAAACAGTTCTCATAACAAAAACATGGGACATGCGTTTCTGTTTCAAAATAACAATAATTATAACAATAATGATAATAAATCATGAAAATTCCTCATATTGCCAAATCTGGGTCAAGCTTTTGATTTGTAGAGCCACATTCAAATAATCACAAAAGATTGTATTTTCCATGAAATTGGTGACATTTAATTGTCAGTATTCTCATAAAAGGCTTCAGTGTCTCCCAACTTCATACAAACTTTTGGTCTTTTTAAATGAGTCTCCCATTTCCCCAAAACAAAAAATCCATAGGATCAGATATCAAAATGATAATAGAATATCCAAACATATATATATATATATATATATATATAAATTTATTTATTTTTTCTCATTTATTCTGGGAGGGAAGAATTAAATAAAATTAAAATTAAAATGATATTTCACTGATTTGGACATAAAGAGAGATTATCTGAGAGGAAATGAGAGGCATCCCTCTATGACAAGGTTACCTCAGAGGTGTCCAGTTAAAAGCGTGGATAATAAGATTACTCTTAAAGTCAAATCTCCCCAGAAGACACTTTTGATTGACTGATCCTCAGCCAGGCTTACATGCTTGCTCTCATAGCCCAAAATAATCGTTTTTACTCAAACTGCTTCCTTTACCACACCTGAAGACCCAAGTCAATACCTCAAACCCATTTATACAGTAGTTTTACCTTGAATACATTAGGATACTAATTAATGTGACCAATAATTATCTTGATATTGATGCCTCTGCATTTATTTTTACACACAAGGACTCAATATAAACCAGTGAAGATCTCAGTGGCTAAAAACATAAATTTAGACTAATTAAATTCAAAATGTCAAAACACAGAAGTACATATGAACAAAATGAATCAATGGAAACTTTCTATAAACGATAAAAGTAAGTATCAAAGTATCCTTTTGAAGTAAACCATGTGATACCATACTATGCAAAATCCATTTTAGCACTATAGCATATAAGCAATTCTATACAGCAGTAAGGAATTCAGTACAGCTTCATATCTATTGGAAAATGAGTGTTCTTTCGATGTATAAATAAGTTTTTGCCACTCAAAAATTATTTATTGAAGAAAAATTCAGGGTAAGAACAGATTTATTTTGTTATGAGACTTTATAGAACTGTACATGCCTTTAATAAATGCCTGCAAAGAGAAGTGAAAATCTATGCATTGCAAATGCTATAGATTGTCCGGACATCATGTGCTGTATCTATACTGCCCTCTACTGTTACAGTCCGATTGAAGAAATTGCCCCCCTTCTGATAACAATGTTCCTTCACTGTGTTTCCAAACACTGAGAAATATCAAATAGTCTATATAAATAAATTAATAAATATAATAAACAGTATACATATAAAAAGATCCCAGGAGAACTGAAACGCACACATACAGTAGTCACTGAATCTGTCTGAAGTCCTGGAATATCTCTGTAAATGCTTTCCACTGATTATGTATTACAGACCACAGATGCTTTGCTTTACGTGCATAACGCTTCATTTCAAACAGTTATAGAGAAAATACAATGTTACTGAGCCAAGAAATGTATATTTTACAAAAAAAGGTTACAAAGTGAAACTTAAATGTAATTTTATCTTTAGGTACAAATAATAAAATATAACAATAATAATAATAATAATAAAAAAGTGAAATTTTTTAAAATGTGGAGAGGTCAGTTTTAGTTCAACAAAGTCAACAAATGCACATGCCAACACAGATTTAACCAATCTATACAAAACAATTAAAGCAGAGATTCACAGATGTGTATCTTAAATCCAGTGACTGCTTTGGCACAAAACTTTTATAGTAATGTTTTATGTTAATGAACAGATTATTTTAATACTAGCCGGTTTCAAACAGATACACGTGGCAATTTCAAGTTCCAAAGCAAACTGCTCTCGGGATTTGTCTAGTCTCTAAGGTTCTCAGCACTGTGCTGCTCTTCAGACTCTGGTTTCTTGCAGAACATAGTGGAGAGTTCCTGTAACAGCAATTCCTGTTGCGGGCTACATGATCTGTGTGACCTGTGCCTACCTGGGACGGGCAGAGAGTCGTCCTGGCTCAGGGTGTCTAGAGATTGACCAGAGGAGGACAGAGAGTGCAGTGGGTTTGACCCAACCATGCGATCCAGGGAGGCGGTCTTCCTTTGTCCCAGGCTGACGGGCCGTGCGGGAACCTCCTGGGTCTCTGCAGGAGCACTGGACAAGAAACTCGTTTCCAAAGACTTGAGCACCTGCAGGCCGAAGTCGCCCACCTCCTCATACAAAGGCTCGGGGCTTTCGATGCGCTCCTCAAACGAGTCCTGCTGCATCTTCATGGGCTGAGAGTGAAAAAGAGAACGATGGCAAGGCATAGCAGGAGGTCAAAACGATATCTGGAGATTTCACACAACAGCACATTAAACCAATAACATCCATTTCACCTACTTCACCACAGTTATGCAATAGTTGTCATGAAAAAACACTATACAAATAAGTTGAATTTAATTTAAAAGAGCAGAGCACAATATCGAGTTATTAATGTTAATAATCATTATTATTATTATATAATTTTAACAATTGTAATAAATAACTTGGTGTTTATTATTTTATTGTACTTTTTTGCAGTTGTATATCATATTACACTTTAGTATTTTTTTCATTAGTCCTCTATATTATTTTCATTTATGCTATTTAAGCTTTTATATTATTACATATACATAATATAGTGAATATACTATTGTATTAACCTTATAATATCACATAATAATATAAACTATAAATATATTATTATTATTATAGTATGACATTTTTCATTCCTACTACTACTTCCATGTAATCATTTTATAAATAATTTTATTGTGTTTATTAAATGCATTGTAGTTGTTCTTTTTTTAATTATTATTTTATTTGATTCATTTTATTATACTATTTAAGCTCTTTTATATTACATTTTCATAATGTAGTGAATATACTATACATCACATAATAATAATAAATAAACTATAAAACAAGTATAGTATGACATTCCATTTTGTAACATTAAATGAGCCATATTATACAGTGAATAGACTAATATATGGACTTTATATTACACTACCACCACTACTAATTATCATATTACTATGGTTTATTATATGGCATTAATGTAATTACTTTAAATTTGCTATAATAAAATATAGTGAATATACAATTAAATGAGCATTGAGCATTTACTTTAATTATTATTTTTCATTTCTGCTATAACTATTGTAAATTATTAAATAATAAATAAATATGTATCTGCTATTTCACAGCATTTCTGAATGTATAGCTCATCCATACAGACAAACTTTTAAAGCCATCTCTATCTCTATAAAATAAAAGCTTATGAGCTGATTTTCTTGTTCCAAAAGCAAATCATTCTCTTAAACTCCGAAGATAACAGGAACTACATATTAAACATACGGGTTCCAAACACACTAGTGACTTATCTCATGAAAATAGCTAATCTGCCAGATGATCTCCCATTATGTGAACACAGGTATTTGTGGTTAGCGGGACACGCACAGAAAGTGATCACCCCCTAAACAATGCTCAAAACGAGTTACTTCCTTTTTTAAGCTTAAACTTTTGTCTTAGTATCAGAGCAACAGCATCAAGATAATTGGCAAATACATTGAGGACAAAAGCACGAAGCCAGCAGACAATTTGCTTGCGAAAGCTTTTTGGGCTGGGACACACCAGAGGCTGTAGCACTTTCCCTGCCCTCCCTCAAGGCTACAGTTGCAGAACAATGCAGTAGAAGCATTCTTCCCACAAACGCATCCTGTCATACCAGGAAACCCTGCTTTCCCAACAGGAATGAGGGGGAAGGAGCGAGGATGTCCTAAATTAAGTATAGGCTCTTTTGTAGAATGCACTCCTAAACTTTTGAGCGCTTGTTAAACGCAAAAGGTCATTCGATACTTTTTGAAACCTCCTCCTTTTGCATTTTGACCAGCCACTGTAATCAAGAGTAATTGTACACAAATTTCCTTGCATGCAAAGGTGTGAAAACTCAATTGCATGAACTGCATTGGATTCATCTGCAATAAACAAAGAAATACTTACAAAGAACATTGATAGAGCTCTTCTGGTGTGAAGCTTTCTCTGGAAAAACACACAAAGACACACACAAAAGCTAAATCTCGAAGCAAAAACAAGCAAGCGTGACATGCACCGAGCCACTAGAGGACGCTGTTGTGCTCTACCAGAGTCTGGTTGGCGGAGAGCATGGTGGAGTTGGTGTTGCTCTCCTCTCCTCTGATGGGCACTAGCGGCATGGTGCCAAACTTCTGCTTGGAAATGTCAGAGGAAGAGTGCCGTCTCATCACGGGTGGGCGCAGGTCATCGTTCTGAGGTAGGACGTTATTGTTTAAATTTCGACTTTGAAATGTTAATGAATCTACATATATGTGTTCAGTTTAAAAGGTGCTGTACCTGTGCTTTTAGTAAATTAGTCATCCAGTCCCATAACTCAGTTTCACAGGAACAGCTAAGGTACCTGTGAGGTCAAGGAGAGCATCATGGTTAAGTGTAGCTATAAATAGACACTTTCAATAAAGCCTATAGCAGTGGTTCCCACATTTTGGGATTTGAACCAGAGCCAGACCGATATATCGGCAGACCGATATTATCGGCCGATATTAGGCATTTTCCAAACTATTGGTATCGGCAGTTATAATGGCCAATAAATGAATATTTCAAAAATAAAATAAAAACGGATGAAACACGCTTGAACCATGTCATGAGTGTTGGAGTTGTATTGTTTGTCCACCAGAGGGCACCCTACACCGTTCCTGTTGGCAACACTCGTTGAGTTGGGCACGATACATACATTGCTTGAATAACAATTAAAAGAACATCCCCATCAGTTCTCTTAACTCAAATAAGCATGACAAAATTTGTGACTATCATGTCCAGTTTAAAAAAAATAAATAAATAAAATATCGGCCGATATATCGGATTTTAAACCCCAAAAATATTTGTATCGGTATCGGCCTTCAAAATTTTTTATCGGTCGGGCTCTAATTTGAACCAAAGGAAATTTACTAATCGAAAATGGTTGTGTAAGGGAAATTTTAAACTGAATATTAAGCTAACCATGTTTTAACATTTGACCTCATTTAATCTGCTAAATCTCTGAGACAATGTACTAAGACATTTTGTACTTTCGATGAATGTATACGTCAAACGCCTGACTGTGTGTATAAATAACAAATATGAGAAATGGAACTAGACAGATGACCATGCTAGAACTTGTCATCTATGAAGTAATCATTAAAACAAGTCTACCCAGTAACAGAAGAGACTTTAAATGAAGAACCAATCATATTATGTTTTTGATGTATCTTTTCTTTTGTAACATATATGGGCTTGTGTGTTTTATAAAACATAGATGTTTTAGAGAGAGATGTTTTAAACAATAGATGTGCCTTTTCAGAAAATGATGTGTCAAGGAAATTGCAAATAGGTCAAATAGGACAGGGTGCATTAAGCACGAGACAAAGCTCAAGGCATAGGTGATAAAGGGAAATTGAAACTGTATACGTGCAGGAGCCTTAAGAAGAGGAGGGGGTACGTCTTGGAGGGTTATCTTTTTGTATATAAACTCTGTAAAGTGAGAAGACTTTTGGCCTTCTCATATCAGACATATCAGTCTGTGTGTGAACTGCCTTTCTTGCAAGAAATGAACATGTATACTTAAGACTTTCGATATCTTCATTGTACTTTATTATTTAAGATCTAGGTACAAAATTCCACAACAGTTGACACACACACACACACACTTTAATACTTACAATTGCTGTTTATCCAGCATTACCGTTAATCCCCATCTGCAAATAAATGCACTCGTTATTTGAAGTTTTATAAGGTTCACTGATGGAATGAATGTTAATTTGATCTAAAAAGCAGAAATGTGAAGCATGCATCTTACTTTGTTGGTGGCTTTAACTTCTTTCTGATGCCCATGTAAATCTTCAAGGTTTTCAGTTGCCACTCTTTCTCAGGCTTGTTGCTCTGTGATGTGGGAAACATGCTGACGTGTTCAGTTCACCATCTTCTGTAATGTGCTTTTATGTAGGAGTTGATAATGAACTGTACATATACCTTTTTGTCCTTCAGCAGGAGTAGTCTGTGGTCTTTAATTTGGAATGATCGCTCCTGGAATTTGTTTCCTTGCAAGAGTTTGGGCGGCTCTTCCCGACACTTCAGTACTCCAGACTTCACAATCTCACTCTTATAGGCTGCAAGCCACAACACAGAGATAAACGAGTTACAAGCTCAAAAACCAACAACGATACAGAGCAAAATATACAGTTGGTGTTGTTTATGTGATAAAATATGGTTTTAGAGTTTTGTGTTTGGATGATGTGTGGTAATAACCGTCATTCTATATTGTATCTTCTTTATTTTTAATATAATTTTTGCAATTCTTATATACACTAAAAAAATTCCAATATTGTGAATGTTTGAGAGCGAGAAATTAATACCTCTATTTTACAAGGATGCATTCATTTGATCAAAGAATACAGTAGAGACATTTATATTACAAGTATGTCAATTTATATTATATATATATATATATATATATATATATAAACTGTACATATATACAGAAAACAGCATAAGCTGTACATTATTAAACTGTACATTTATACAGAAAAAGAAAACAGTATATGCATATTGTAATATCTAAAAACTATACAGTTTTGTTCTGTATTTTTGATCACATAAATGTAGCCTTGGTGAGCTTAAGACACTTCTTTCAGAAACATAAAAAAATACTATTCACCCCAAACTTTTGAAAAGTAGTTTTTATACATTATATGACCTCAAATTAGTGGAGATAATACCGAATATGTGTACATATAAAAATTAATTTGACACAATGTAGAACTGGAAAATTGGTTGAAATATTTTAAACTTAGGTTTTAATTTGAAATACATTCATCACAACAATTCCAGATATCCTCTGAAAGAAGTCTGTTCATCTGATGAAATGAATATGCTTTCACCTGTGAAAATGTCTATAGCTTCTCCTCTAGGCACCTTCTTCACCACCAGATATGCCGAACTGGGATCGGCCATTTTACACCACTGTAGAGCTTGTTCCAGAACCTTCTCTTTGGGGTGAAGAGGTCGCTCTGTAGAAATGACATCCTGCATTTATCTACTGTTTTTACCCAGACTTAAAGGGATACTCCACTTTTTTGGAAATAGGCTAATTTTACAACTCCCCCAGAGTTAAACAGTTGAGTTTTACCATTTTTGAATCCATTCAGCCAATTTTCTGATATTTAGAAGAATATCGGTAACCAGACAGTTTCTACTCTCATTGACTTCCATAGTAGGAAAAAAATAATCTATGGAAGTCAATGAGTCCAGAAACTGTAATATTCCTCTAAGTATCAGAAAATCGGCTGAATACATTCAAAAACGGTAAAACTCAACTGTTTAACTCTGGGGGAGTTGTAAAATGAGCCTATTTCCAAAAAAAGTGCAGTATCCCACATTGATTGCTCTGCTGTTTCCTTCTCATTTTAGTACTGAATAACAAAGTAAAATGGTGCTTATGCAAATAGGGGTGTATTTTATTTTTACCCAGCTCTCCTTCCTCAATGGCCTCAAAGGTCATCCACACGTCTTTTTCCCCAGGAGGAATATTTCTCATATACAGCACCTGATTGGTCAGCTCCTCAGCACACATAGTGGGGGACACCTGTGGAGAGACACATACAGGTTTGCAATGATGGTTTCAATCTGCCTCCATGTGGTAATGTTGTGCAACAGCAACTCTCAGTCAAAAATCAGTCACATTCAGACATGAAGCAGACTTCTCTAAAGATGAAAAAGATTTGACTACAATATTGTAGTGCATTTGATCCCTTACTTTCAGAGTGATGCAGCAATCTGGTATTTTTTCTTCTAGATAAACTTCAATAATCAAGTCCCCTGCTTGTGAGAGCTAAAAGAAAAAAAAATATATATAATAATAATAACAATTTATAATATATTAAAGAGAGATAGGAAGAGAAAGAAAATATATAACAAAATATAAATTGCTCTACCTGCGTGTCTCTCCAAGTGGTTATCAAACTGATTTCCAGTTCAATCTGAGTTTGATGCTCTTCATCGATCTGATCAAACACACACACACACACACACACACACACACACCCCACATAAAAAAGACAAAACAATTATTAACAAAAATGATTCATATTCAAACAAAATTCCATGGTAATACCATATATTGTGTACCACCATATTATTATTGTATTCTTTAAAATATTTGCACAGTATTCAAAATTAATTCCGTTACATTATGATATATCAAAGTACGTTTTTGCAAAGGTCTTTAACACAGTAAAATGTCATATTATAGCTTATAATATGACGCCATTAAGATATCCACTTACATCAAATATATACAGATAGTTATCAATGAGGTCTTCTATGATTTTGACCTCATGTTCTCCTTTTCCATCAGTCTGAAACAGGCTGGGTGCAAACAGCAGAGACAAGTTCTTAGTGCACATCTGATTCAGATCAGCACACTTCTGTACCCTAAAAGGAGAAAGAGACAGCGTATAAGAGTTGCTATCATTACAAAAACAGACCTGAATCAGAATGGAGACTCACCTGTAGAGATGACTGATGAGTGCTGCTAAAGTAGTCCTGTTGACCCGTGGTAAACCTCGAATCAGCTCTTTGTATCGATCCAAGCGCTGGGCCTTTAGAGGCATCTCTGAATATAGTATGAGAAATCATTGAGACAGCACAAACTATCCAAAATACAGTATCCGTGTTGTCAGTTATTTGAATATCTGGGTTGTTTTCAACTTTATGTCTATGGTTGTGAAATCCATTTTTTGTTATATACTTATATTTAACAATACACATACAATGTGAACCTTGTAATATCGTTAATCCGTTTAGATTAATTCCACAACTTTCTTTTTCAGTTGGAAAAAAAAACATCTGGCTAAGTTACCAATTCATTAAAAACGTTTGGGTCAACAGATAATAATAATGTTTTTTTTTTTTAATAATAAATGTTACTCAAGCATGAAATCATCATATTAGAATGATTTCTGGATCATGTGACACTGAAGACTGGGGTAATGCTGAAAATTCAGCTTTGCCATCACAGGAATAAATGACATTTTTCAATATATTTAATCTGAAAACACTTTTAAATGGTAATCATATTTCACATTACTGTATTTTGATCAAATGCAGCAAATAAAACATTTTAAAAAACCCAAACTTTTGCACAGCGGTGTACGTTCCATCAAAATTATCATTTGCAATTGTAACGTAAGCATGCCACAGTTTCACATCATGGACAGTATGCTGAAAATAACCCATAATATTTATCAATAGTCTTTGTTTAAAGGTTTATATGCAGTTTACTGTACTAACTGGCAGCTTCCCTCCAGAAGGGGTGAAGATCAGCCATGAATATGGGATCATCAATCTCCCGAAAGAACCTTTTCAGTACATCCGTCACGTCCTCTATGAAGTTATCTCCGATGCGTAGCTTCACATTACGGGCATCCCTACGAAATTCTTCCATCAAGAGCTTGATTCTTGATTTTGCACCATTTTTCCTATATATACCCTCATGGCCCAGACCTGTGTAAGAGAGTTATACATCATTTGATGTTAATGTTAATGTTATAGCCCAGGGAATATAATATAAAGCACATGAATACATCTTCTCACCATACTGGGTTATGAATGCAATGCAACTGTCTACAATGATGGGGATGTCATTTCTGCTGAGCTGCTGGTCTTTAAGGTTGTTTCCCTTCCCTCCCGCAGACTTCTGGATGTCTGCGTACCACAGGGAGAAATCGGTCCTGCCCATGCCCTGCAGATGCAGAGTCCTGCAGGCACAGTCATTCTTTTTTAGGGGGACTTTGATAAAACCGTTTGATAAAAGTATCTCTAAACCAATCCTTTCCGAAAGCCAATCCTGCTCTGATTGGTCAGACGGTCCAGTCTGTTGTGATTGGTCTACTGCTTTCAGCGCACGTCAAAAACAAAACTCTATTGCTAGATCTAAATTTCATCTGCGGAAGCTTCCTCAGCACTTGATACACAAGGATACGAACAGTAGCGATGGGGTCAGTTTTCACGAATCGATTCGAGCCCGAGTCCTCATCAATGAAAATTGGATTTGCTTTCCCAGAAAACAGCATTTTCTTGACATGTCGACAACATAAACCAAACTCATCCAGGCCTCAGCTACAGTTTATGAGGGTCAAAATAGATAGAGCTAATGAAGATCATATCTGGCAATATGCACATTTATTAAAAACCTATGGATGTTTTTGCAAGAAGACTTGAATTACTGACGACTCGTTTCAGGCAGTTCAGAATCGGTTCTTTCTTTTGGGAAACAATAACTAATTTCTCTGCACTTTAAACTTTTAAAGCGGCACTTTGCAAGATTTCCGTTTTTGTCAAACTGTGACCCCTAGAGTCGCTGTGGAGTACTTGTACTGTCGTAAATAGCACTCACGCAGAGATGTCTCTGCACTCACGGCCTGATCCCCTCCCCCTGTATACCGGTACCTGTTCAGTAGGATCGAAGCTGTAACGAGTGGAAATAAGGTGTGGCCCCTTTAAGAGCTGCGCCCTGTTGAACTGTCTGTATTGTATGCGCCTCAAACACCACATGTATATGGCGCCGGGCTATTTCTGTTTGATGTTTATTTTATCAGATCTTTCTTGCCGTAAAGCAATTCGTTGCTTTATGCTGATATCAGGTCTCGCAATTCACGAGACCTGATATCACGCGACAATTCCTGATGCTGCGGCCGGCGGCCCGCCGGCTCAAAGTTGTGTGTTTTTTCCATTCATAGGCAACAGGGGGGGCGAGACGCACAACATTCAAGCCGAAAATAGCCAATTAACCATTGCAATAACTCTGAAACTATTCAGTTAAGGTAAAAAAAACTGCATTGAGCTGCTTTAAACTTTATACATGAGAGGTAATATTTGTAAAAGCATAATAGAGCCACTTTTAAAAAGAGTAAATAACTTTAATTTGGCTTAAAATGAGCATTAATAAATGTCAAAGACCCACCTTCCTTTCTCAACAAGAACCAGAATGTCCTTCTTCTCATGATTCTCCGTTTCTGATGCAATGCCTTGAACCCAAGACAAAGACGGATAAGTACATAGCTCCTTTATTAATCCTTGGGGATAAATTTAGCAGACTTATTTTCTCTGAAATATCATATCAGTGTCACAGTGATTTAGCTAACAGACTCACTGAGCTCCTGTAGGCGTTTCAGGTTTATTATATCCTCAGCGGCTCCATCATTTCCAGGGCATATGAATAGGTTTGACTTCTGCAGAACAAAGAAGCCTTCTTTCCACTGCGGGTCTAGCATGGCCTTGTAGCGCAGAACGCCCACTCGCTCGAACTCTCGCGCCAGCAGGCAGTGACAGCTGAGAGGTGTGGTGGCCTGTCAGAGATAAAAACCGAGGTGAGATCTAATGCAATGATGTGACAAGATAGATCTTGCGACCGATTAATATTTACCTTCCCTATTGCTTTCGCCCAACTATGCAACGCCTCTTGAGTCTCCAATCCAAACTGAATCAGTTTATCAGATGTTAAGTAAAGTTCAAAAGTGTATCGAAATCTGAAAGGAACAAAAAGAAATGTTATGATGACCATTTCTAAATCTGAAAGTGTCCTGAAGGACGTTCTGTTATGCAGTGACACCCACTTGTCAATAAAGCCGCTGTTGTTGCTAGAATCTGGCCTGTTAACTCCTAAACAGATGATGTCTTTCACATTGATCTTCATACTGGGCTCATGACATCTGTCAGACTCGTAGAAGAGAATAGACTTCTCCACCGAACACCAGTACTTTTGAAAATCTGCTAAAATATAAAACCAAAAATGTAATTAAAAACGCAAATCTGCAAAGAACTGAATATAACATTCTGAATGTACACCGGTAGCAATTAAAGATACATTTTATTAAGTAAAAGTGCAGTTTATATATTAAATATAAATAAATGTCTATTAATATATATATAAATATTATTAATAATATATATACATATTAATATATTAATATACATATAAATATTAAATATATATAAATAAATATTAAATATACATTTTATATATAAAGTAAAAGAACAGTTTATATATTAAATATAAAAAAAATATTTTTCTTATTAGATGTCAGTCTAAATTTCAAGAGCACTGTTGTTTTGAATCAGTGAACAGGTGGTCATCATGAAGCCACTTTATTAATATATATAAATATTATATATATATAAATAAATATTAAATATACATTTTATATATAAAGTAAAAGTACAGTTTATATATTAAATATAGAAAAATGTATTTTTCTTATTAGATGTCAGTCTAAATTTCAAGAGCACTGTTGTTTTGAATCAGTGAACAGGTGGTCATCATGAAGCCACTTTGCACTACCATTTTAGTATCATTTTAAAATCTTCACAAAGGCTCAAATATACAGTGAAAACATTAATATTGTGAAATATTAGTACAGTTGAAAATAACTTTTATATTCAAATATATTTTAAAATGTAATGTATTCCTGTGATTGCAAAGCTGAATTTTCAGCATCATTACTCCAGTCTTCAGTCACATGATCATTCAGAGATTATTATATGCTGAAGAAAAATGTCTAACTTGTGTTACTTAATAATTTTGTGAAAATATTTTTATGGATTCTTTAATGAATAGAAAGTGCATATGTGTGTGTAAATATATATTTATTTATTATAAATTTATATATTATATGTAGAAATATTTTATAATATAATAAAAATGATCAATTTCATGTATCTTTGCTGATTTTAAGTATTAATTTCTTAATGCATCATAACTTTTGTAATGATTTTTAATTATTTTGTGCACCTTAACAATACACAGAGAATTTACATTTCTGCACATTTTGATGTACTGAGCAGCTTTACTTATACTGCAGAGGTACATTCGGCTCCTAAATCTCTGCCAAGGCTTGTTTTTGTCACACAGTCGCCTACCGTCTCTGGTTCTGCGGGATAATGTCCCTTTGTTCAAGGAGCCTGACTTGTAGAGGTATCCGGAGTACAGGATGGGCTGCATGATCTCATCATACACACAGGAATCTAAATGCAGAAAATTACACTTTGATACTTCACTCTTGCATTTCACACATTTTTCATGCATTAAAAGTGAAGTATGTCATTTTATATAGTAAATATTAGTCAACTTTTCATAGGTTTCAAAACTGAGTGGTCTGACATGTTCGCTTATGGCTCAACCAATGCCTTGAGTTTGTGGCAGGATAACATGTAATAATCCGTTTAGCAGGAAATTGATTAGTGTGTCCAAATACAATAGACTATATATATAAAAAAGAATCATAAATTAGCTATCAACAAATGCTAGGACCAAAATTACAAGACTTTCTAAAATACAGAGAAACATAAATATAAAAGCATTGGCAACATGAAGAGAGAACTATCTGGATTTTGTCGTTGTTTTCGTTGGGATTTAGATTACTTTTTGAGTTCTGTTTGGCACCAATTCAATTACAAACTTGCCCTTTAAGAAATAAGTCAGTAGTGAAGAACTGGAAAGGACTCTATCATACCTGCAGACTGTGTGTATGAGTAATGTGGGGACAGACGCTTAACGTTTCCATTAGTGTCAGCGAGTCGAACGGCCTCAGCTTCCGCAAAAATCTGAGTGACTGTCTTCAGGAGGTTCTGCTCGGTCACGGCGGTGCACAGCGCCTGCAGGCACACCACATACGCGCACACACACACTTAAACAAATGCACTGCTAATAGCACATTCAGCCAAGGGACATTCAAAGCTTCTTCCAAAAATCCATCTATTCATTGCAGTCCTTTTATTAGCTTTCTTAATTATTTACAATTCACAGCACATGCATCACTTATAGGTAGCCCAAACACACAAAAGATGGCCTTGGTAAAGTCCTGAGAAAGAATAATACACACTAATCTTGGCTTGACCGCGGGCAAAATACTTAGATGGCTCAGGCTATATTAAGACAGGATGTCCTCACTGCCCCAGTGGGGACTGATATAAAAGTTTTCTTTTGAAGCAAAGCTATTACACAGAGAAATGGCCACTGCTATAGTTCACAGCAGCTCTCACATAAGGAAGTATTGCGTGTATTTCAAAATCAAGGGTTTATTATAGAAGAGGAAGGGGAAACGCATTTATTGTGCAAAGGTGTTGAAGTTATATGACACTTAATACATTCGCTCACTTGTTATCTGTGGAAAAGACCTGTATGAACATCTGCATACGGTTTACACAAAGGCTTCAGACACTGTTGACTCTTAGCTTTGATATATGATTTCCACATTTTTGAACAATTGACTTTTCCATGGCCTTTCCTATCATTCATGATTCCTAAGCATTATTGAGAACAATGTATATTTACTATAGAAATGCTCATGACATTATTAAAAGATTAATTTCACTTAATAATAATTATTAGTTATATATCATTATTATTAGAAGTATAAGAAGTATTAGTAGTAGTAGTAGAGAGCCCCCATAAATAAATAAATATCATACTTTCGCAACTTTTTTGCGAGCAAACGAGAAAATATTTCATGAGCAGAGGAATTTACAGTTTCCAGTTGATGTATAAGCTACTAAAAGTAAAACCTATTTCCTTTGTGCATCACTGCCATTTTACTATGAAGTAAATGAGAGGATAGATGCGTATGAATTGATAAAGATATAAAACACACCGCTTTATAGTCCTTTTTGTCTATGGCTATGCTCGCAATAAGCGTGGTTAGAATTGAATGAAGAAAATCAGCATTTCGCCGTCAACGTAAGGATGCTTTAAATCCAACAAAGAGATTTAATAAAGGGTGTTTCAATCTTGTGAAATACACAATTTTAGTACATTAATTGGCCATTAAAATATATTGGTACAGTAAAAAGTTTTATATGGGACAATATAAATACTGCTCAAACAAAATCCAAATTTATCACTACCAACTTTTTTTTTATGAACCATTAAACCTAGTTTAATGACAGAGTTAAATTCGTTAAAGCGGACATAAGGCCTTGAAATATGACATACTGTCCCAACAAAAGCAAATTGATCACTTTTTTTGTACCAGTCTTTTTTATGGACTCTTGAACATGACGTATAGAACAATGCACACAGACATATATTAGAGAATATATGTGATATTAGAGAAATACTGCTCTAACAAAAAACACATTTGTTAGGTGGTGATGGCCCAGTGGATAAGACACATGCCTTTGGTGTGAGAGACTCTGGTTCGAATCCACTGCGAGACACCAATGTGTCCCTGAGCAAGACACTTAACCCCTAGTTGCCCAGAGGCGTGCAACCTCTGACATATATAGCAATTGCAAGTCGCTTTGGATAAAAGCATCAGCTAAATGAATAAATGTAAACATTTTAAGCAAATAGATATTTAATCTTTCATGCGCATTCATTTTCTACATAGTAAACTGGGAGGGATGCACAAAGGAAATAGGTTATAGTGGACGTAAAATGGAAATTGTAACGCGCGAGCATGCAAAAAAATCCAGTGCATTCATGAAATATTTCTTCAATAGATTCTCGTGAGCATGCGGATGTTTTATCGTGAGCATGCAAAAGTTTCTTGTGCGCACACAAAAGTTTGTAGATATTTTATTTTTGCAAAGGTCTCTTTAAGGGGCTCCTTAAACTGTATGGGGCTTTTTTTTTTTTAATTCGGTTCTGTACTACTTTTAAAGACTTCTATGTATAAATAATCTCTGTAACTTATGATTGGTTAACCTCTTTAAATGTGAAATGAGCAATAACTCAAAGTTGTTAAATAGATATTGATATCTCATGCTCATCTTATCTCATTTTTTATTTTTTATTTTTGTTGTTGTTGCATAATCCGTCCCCTGTAATTGCAAAGGGTTTATCCTTTACCTTAAGAAGTTCCTCTTGGGTGCTGAAACTGGGATGAGGGTGGAGATATCTTCCTTCTTTGTATTTGTGGGTGATAAACTCTCTCCGCTGTTCTGGGGAGGCATCACAGTCCAGCTCCTCGGTCACAGGAAGTCTGGCTGCCCAGAATTCATTCGCTCTATCGTTGCCAAGCATTATGAAGAGCTAGAACATATTAGAATAATAGTTCATCTAGGCCTTATTTGTAAAAGACAGTGTAGTAAAATAATGGTGGATCAACTGGAATATCAGGAACATTTCACGGACATTTCCCCTCATGGCAACCCATACCTGAACGATCTCATTGCTCCACACACTGGTGTCCAGTTTCAGACTTTGCACTTTCGACACCATTGTGCCAAGACTTCGATGCTGACCTGCAGGCAGACAGAACAAAAGAGGCACCACATCACTCTCCACGGACCATTCATTCTGTTTGTCCCATTAAAAACGTCCCGATATGGTGCCTCTGAGCCACATTTATCTGCAGTTTACAGCACAGAGGACCTTATACGAACTCACAAATGAGCTTATAAACTCTTAATACCATCTGTATCAACCAATACACAATGCCCTGCCGTCACCCATGCCGGATAGTCACTATTTGTAAAATGCTAAATATCTCACACCAACTATTTTATGGATTTTCTAGCCTAACTAACTGTGAAATTTTAATTATAAACACCATCGATCTGATAATATACTCAATCTTTACCCCACCACATCAGGCACACACACACCTGCGCAATTCTTGCAGATGACCACACAGAGATTAATGGATGCCCAGTCTGGATTGATGGCTTTGCAGTCTGCGCAGATCTTGTTGGACCTGTTAGACCAGATCTTCTCCGCCACCTCATAATCAGATAGTGTTTCTGCTATGGACTCCTGCAGCGCCTCCATCCAGTCCCTCTTCTCTCGCTCCGACTCTGCCGTAAAGCTGTAAAGGTGCACAAAACCCTCTTAATGCTCTGCCATCATGGATCCTATTAATTGTCTCTAGTCTGGCATAGTTACTAAGTGAGAAAAGATCCTGAATGACTTCACTGCTTTAAGTGTGCAGTGACATTTAATAAATCAAAAGTGATTTTATTTCAACTATATATATATATATATATATATATATATGAAGAGTTCAGATGCAAAAGCCTCTAAATGCCATTTGAAATTTTCTTCTTTAATGATGATTTTTATCAAACTTGTATATTTAAGTTCAGTAATTTCACTTAAATAACAATTAATAGGTAATCATCATCCCCATTTAAGTGAAATCACTGAACTTAAATATACAAGCTTGATAAAAATGATCATTCTAGGAGAAAATTTCAAATGGCACTTAGAGGCTTTTGCATCTGAACTCTTCATATATATATAATATAATAAAGTTATTTATAAAGTATATATATATATATATATATATATATATATAATAAAGTTATTTATACAGTTTATATATATATACAGTATATATACACAGTATGTATATATATATATATATATATATATATATACTGTATAAATAACTTTATTTTATATATATATACACTGTATGAATAACTTTATTTTATTATATATATATATATATATATATATATATATATATATATATATAATAAAGTTATTAATACAGTATATATATATTTGTATATTACATAATAATCTTTATTTAATAATCTTTATTTTTCTTAAATATTTGTCTTGTTTTCCAGTAAAAATATCTAAATGTCCTTTTAGAGAATCAAAGCTGTGCATGATAATAAGACTTGTTTTAGAGAATATACATTAAGTTTATTTTGCGAACCCTGTTGGCTAGTGGATTTTTCTTCTTTTAAACTAGGGGGTAAGAAAAAAAAATCACTGATTAAACAATGTTTTTGCAGTGCTGGAAATTACATAGTAGTAAACACATACAAGCTTAACATAAGCATAGCGTGACTTGAACTGTTTACCTGAAGGTTTTATAAGGAGTAATGAGATCAAAGCTCTTTCCCTTCCCATCACGAATTGTAGCACCTCTCGCCTCAATTACAGTAATTCCAATCCCATTTTTAAAGCACTGCAAAACACATATCACAAAGGGTAAGCTGTCATTTAATAATTAGCAATCAAGCCTCCATGATGCAAATAATTTAAAGCTACTTTTGAATGCATTGTACATATGCTATAGCTCAGAATACTTTTAAAACACTCAAACTGAATCACATTGAGAGAAGAAAGAGGTAAAGCAAATCACTGGTACTAAATTCAGAGTAGCATAGCTATAACACAATTAACTGTAACATGATTAACTAATTACCTGCTCACTCTTGTACAACCAGATCTGCTCCATTATAATCGCTGCATAGATCTTTGACTTGGTTCCTTTAAGCTCCAGGAAGCCACTCTTTTGGCAATGACTGCCGGGGCCAAAACGTGGACGGCCAAAAACCAGCTGTTCTTTGACCCGCTCCTGCAATATGCTGCACCATTTGCTCCTCTGGACTACAGGACGGCATAAAGAATGATCATACAGTTTCTTTTGCCACGGTTCAATTTTAAATAAGCAGTAAAACACTTTTTAAAAGACCCATTCCAATTCTAAATGATCAGCCATGAAAAAAGATGGTCCCACTTTAAACACGTATTTAACAACTACGTAATAACATTTAAATTAATCATTTGATACAATGCACCTATTGTGGGTATACATGTATTTAATATATATTTTTTTAATACCAGCATGTAATTACAGCTGTAGTTCATTTCTGTAATTAAATCTATAATTACTCTATTGAGTCTTCCCTTAAACCAGCAAACATGTCCCTAACTTTACCCGTATCCCACCTCAATAGCTGTAAAAGTATTTTTGCAATAAAATATGAACAAAATAAGTGCATATGGACACCAAATATAAAGTGTGACCAAAAAGATTACAATAATACTTTATTGTTATTAAATTAGCATTTCTGTTAGAGCAACAGCAAGGTCATGGTTTTAATTTCAAGAAAATAAATTAACTGAATAGCTTGAATTCATCATCATTAAAAGCGTGTGACATAATTAACAGATCAAAATTGATTTTATTTCAAATGTTATATAATTTCAAAGAAAAATATCTAAATGTCCTTTTAGACAATAAGACTTGTTTTTAGAGAATATACATTATACATATACATTATGTTTATTTTGCGAATGCAAATGTAGAAAAATGCTGCGCTTACCATCATTATCAGCTCGGAAAACAAATGTCCTGTGACTTGTCACAATCTCAAATTTATTGTCTTTGGCAACTCGGGCCATCTGTATGGCAGCTAAGGGAATCACACCTTTGGGATAAGCATCCTGGGAAAAAAAGACCAGTTGTGTTAAGAATAACAGTGTATCAACATATGTGACATCTGCAGAAAAGCACAATTGAATTTAGGAATGGTTTATATATTCTGAAGATCTTCAGGCAGCGTGAAGTGCTTAAAGGGGTCCTAGATCATGATGAATCAGTTAATTCTACTATGAAACCATGCTGTACTGTAACAGTGGGAACACAAAAATGATTTATTGAACTTAACTAATTTGAAAACCTTAAATAATTACAAAGTGTAACAACTTTTCCCAGACCAGCTGAGGTAAAATGTTCAACAGGTGAAGTTGATTGTCAATCACCACCAACTATTGTTCTGGCAATTTGCTTTTCATTCAGCAAAATGAATATAGTTTTCACTCTTGGTGTAAATAGACCATTCGTCATCAATTCATTCAGCTTTCCTGTCCCACGTTTGGTATAAAAGGGCCTTTACACATCAACAACTTCCATTCAGTGTTGTTCAGCTGTTTAACACACTATTCAATGCTTAGGTCGGGGAGCAAGCAGTTAAAAACTATATGTAACATTAAACCTGCAATACACGCATACACAAACTGGGTTTACTTCAAAGCAATTCAGAGGGAGGGTGGAAAAACTACACTACTGTTCACAGTTTGGGGTCAGATGTTTAAGAAATTAATAATTTTGGAAGTATTCAAAGCATTCAATTGATCAAAAGTGAGAGTAAAGACATTTATAATGGCACAAAATATTTCTATTTCAAATATTTTTACCGCCTTTTCGATCAAATAAATGCAACCTTGGTGCGCATGTAGTACTTTTAAACGGTAGATGATATTATGACTGCTCTGGTGTAAAAACCTTGACATTAAAAGTAGAAAAACACTGAATGATAAATGTATGATATGATCCATTTAAAGCTACACTGTGTGATTTTTACCCCCATCTAGAGGTGAAAAGGTATATGACCATCCAGTGAATATTAGTTTCTGTTCCTCTCAATTCCAATTTCGTTTTAACTCCTACGGTGGCCAATGTAGTCCAAGATTAACATGGCTTCCAGTTCGACCTTGTCCAAGAGTGTTAAATCAAACAAACGCGAAAGGCGAAGCTACGGGTATGTCCCTCTTTGGCAAATGTACTTTCAAAATGGAGGGTCAACATGGCGACCGACATTAGAACCCCTTACCCGTATGTATTTTCAATGGCATATTATACACTCACAAGAATACTTTATTACTTGAACAAAGAAAATCTACCTTAATGAGCACATATATTTTTGAAAGAATAAACTAAAAGAGTTACACAGTGTAGCTTTAATAATACAATGGAATGATGGCATTGAGATTGATCACATGCAATCATACCTTTTCACTACCATAGTACATCAAGTTTTTCCCATCAAACTTCACATAGCGTTTCTGGAACACATAGTTTCTATAACAGAGGAACAAATGTGATGTCAGAGAAAAAAAAAACACTACATTACAAAGGTCGGATTTCTGAAATTATTTAAGCAGGAACTGAATCTAGACACTGGAAGATGTCAAGCAGAGGACAGGAACAAACAGCAGCAGACACAACACGTGAAGTGATGACAAACCGGCCAGAGAGGACAGACAGGGAGCAGAAACAGCCATTGAGGAGCGTGCAGGAGACGCAGAGATGAGAGGAGAGTAGCAGCCCCGATGGGGCGTACCCTTGAGGAGAGAGCTTGTCCAGCCAGCCGCTGAGGATAGGTGCCATCCGCTCGGACAGCGAGGTGAAGCTGGCATAGGGAGAGATGATGTGGTCCTCGTCTGTTTCATTGGAGCAGAGGTTATGAGGGAGGGAGAACGAGTGGGAGCCCGGTGTGGGTTCACCCACAGTGCAGTAACCTGGAGAATCAAGGCGCTTGAGCCACGCATGATGGTTCTGCCTGTGGGAGGAGGAGGAGGAGGTTTAAAATATATGTAAAAAGCCATCCTTAAAAAATCTTTATCCTTTATTTAGTTATTGTTTATTATTTATTTATCTATCATGTATTACTTTTTATTAATAATTATTATTGATTCACTATTTACTATTAAAACACCTAACAACATCTGGTAGTTTTTTCCTCAATAGAGCATATTTGAAATGTGGTGGATGTGCCGTGGATGTGCATCCCACAAATCTCCATCAACTGCAAGATGCTATCCTATCAGTATGAGCCAACATTTCAAAAGAATGCTTTCAGCACCTTGTTGACTCAATGCCACGTAGAATTAAGGCAGTTCTGAAGGTGAAAGGGGATCAAACACAGTTTTAGTAAGGTGTTCCTAATAATCCTTTAGGTGAGTATGTATATATAATATAATATAAGATAATTAAAGGGATAGTTCACCCAAAAATGAAAATTCTTTCATCATTTACTCACCCTCAAGTTGTTCCAAACCTCTATGTGTTTATTTGTTCTGCTGAACACAACGGAAGATATTTGGAAGAATGTTTTAATCAAACAGATCTCAATCCCCATTGACTACCATAGTAGGAAAAAATACATACTATGGTAGTCAATGGGGATTGAGATATGTTTGATTAAAACATTCTTCCAAATATCTTCCTTCGTGTTAACAAATAAACACATAGACATTGGAACAACACGAGGGTGAGTAAACGATGATAGAATTTTCATTTTTGCGTGAACTATCCCTTTAACATAACATAAATAGTTATTTTTATATATTATATATTAAAAATAAACTTAGTTCAAGATACATTTTCAAAAAACAATTTCTATGACTATTATTATTTTTTTATAGTTTGTTCATCAAACATATATCATATTATATTTAGAAGATTTGGAGTATAGCATGAGCCATATAGACATCTTGACAGCATCCTTCCCCATTTTTATTTTTATCGACAAGAGCAGCTGAGAAATTCAGCTAAACTGCTCTGTTAAAGTGGGATAGCTTTAACCACATTACGGAGATCACTTCACTAAATCATGCTTACTAAGGCATCTTCATGACTTAAAGGGATACTCAACCCTCTCATCATTTACTCACTTTCATGCCATCCCAGATGTATATGACTTTCTTTAGATGAACACAAACTAGAATTATTAGCTGGATAACACTGTGGGGGATACCAAACATTATCCTGACTTTTGAGGACACATACAATTTAAACTTTAATTGAAATAACTGGACTTACCCATGATCTCTTGTTTTATCCTCTTTATTTGTAGTCTTTTCCTCAATTTTGGTCCCGTCAACCTAAACATATTAAACCATAAATAAAACACACCCATTTGAGTACACGAAGTTAAAATTCACTCTAAAATAAAGTTGGCTTACTTCAAGTCTCTCACCTTTGAATGTTGATATTGTCGCTTGCTGTGGAAGACAGTTTCACAGTACGGGTTGATCATTTCATCTTCGTACTCAGCAGATGCTGTGCCAGTTGAACAAAACAAAAATAAAATTGTAGGATAAGATAAAAACATTAATATTAAAATAAATATCCATTCTTCGATGAATATAAAGTTCAAATAAACAGCATTTATTTGAAATACAAATGTTTTATAACATTATAAATGACACTTTTTCACTAATGATTTAATGTGTCCTTGCTGAATTAATTTTTTCCAAAAAAAATAAAAAAATAAATAATAATCTTACCAACCCCAAATTTTGAATGGTAGCATTTATGCATGTATGTATGCATGTATATTAATGTTCAGAAAAAAAAAAAAGATATGTAAGAAAGTAATACATGTTAGAAACAAATTTTAGGGGAGTAAATCATAAAACTTTGTGTGTTAATAAACCTACCGGATGTTCTTTTAGGTGTTTCAGTTGAGTTGGACTTCTCTAAAGTGCTATTGGAGGAGAAAGTTAGTTAACTGTGGAGGGATAGTCATAAGGATCAACATTAAATGGTATGGCATGCTGGTATGTCCAGCAAAAACAATGGGGCCTTCGCACCAGGTAGATTTAGGAACTTAGTTTTAGTAACTATCCACCAGGGTGGATCCCAGAGAACTAACAGTTTCCTTAGGAACATTTTCCTAGTTCACTTCTGCTAGTGTTGCTAGCAGAGCAGAATCATGTTTGGCTTGGTCTCCTCAAAGTTGCATTGGATTTTTTCCTTGGCGTAAAAGGTTAAAAAGGCCCATCTATCACGGTTTTCAATGTTCGTAGAGTTAGTTTGTGGAGTAAATATATAGGCTATAATCTGTGCATTAACAATGACGGGTGGCGGGTGTTGTTTGGCATGCATCTGGCCAAGCGTACACTAATGTCACTGGTAGAGCCCGACCGATAAAGGATTTTGAAGGCCAATACCGATACAAATATTTTTGGGTTTTAAAATCCGAAATATCGGCCGATATTTTTTTTATTAAATATTATTGGATTTCACACACACGTGTAAAAGAAAAACTAACTTTTCTGCACAAGATACGTTTGATACTTTTTCTCTATGTCTAAATGTCCACTCCTCACAAGTATAACTTGATTGTAACTAGAGATATGCTAGTTATAAATACAGTAATCATTACTTTATTTAGGCAGAAAAAGTTCATTGTGGTTTCCAAGCTCATTAATGTTAACGTTAGCGGTCTTCCACTGATGATTGTGGCATTAGCTAGCTTTGTGGTTAGCTAGTCTATGATGAGCCATAATTTATCAATAGATAACGTCATACTGCAAATTGTAAAACATACATTTTCAATATAACAGCCCAAGGAGAGATGATTGAAGCGTGTTTTGTCCGTTTTTATTTTATTTTTTAAATATTCATTTATCGGCCATTATAACTGCGATACCGATAATTTGGAAAATGCCTAATATCGGCTGGCCGATATATCGGTCTGGCTTTAGTCACTGGTAGTTCCTATAGTGCTGGTTTAAACCATACTCTAAAGTAGGAGCTAAATTAGTTCCTCCAAAAGGAGTTCCTAGAACTAAAATCATTCCTAGTTCTTGCAGTGCGAACATGCCAAAATCAAGGTACTTCCGCCAATAGTTCTAGGAACTATGAAAAGGTTCCATTGGTGCGAAAGCCCCTAATGTCATTTCAATTAAGACTTAACAGTTTACCTTTTATTTTCAGTGGACGGACTGACCTCCTGGCGCGGAGGGGGAACGGGTAAAGAGCGACTCCAAAATACACGTGGAGTGCCTGGTAAAGTGCCACAATAGATTTCATTAGAGACCATCTCTAGCCCTGAGCAGGGAGGACTTGGAGGTGAACCAGGTGTGTTGGTGAAGGGAGAGCACTGATAACTAGAGGGGGAGTCAGGTGGGGTGCAGAGAGGTGGGGTGCTGAGATGCTCCTGGTCCGACATTTTCCTGAATGCGGATGGGGGAATTCCTCGATTGAACCTAGGGGGCACTGGAGGTAATACTCCGCCAGTCTCTGGGGTTGGAGTGGTATTACTCAAACCTGGTTCACAATGGACGTTTTTTGATTCAGAAAATGTTTCAACAGTGTCTGTACTGGACGGAGTAGAGGACGAATCTTCTGCAACTATTACCATCGGGTCCTGAGATGACTTTCGGCGAGGTTGCGCTTCATGTTGTGTTGGTAAAGAAAATTTATCTGCTCTTAGTTTGTGGAAGACAGTTCTTGGTTTTGGTACCGGCTTTACAACACTGGTGCTACGCTCGGAGAATGAGCGCCTCACTTGTGCACAAAGATTCGGGGCAGAGCTGTTACGTAAGCTTTCTAAAGAGGCGCCAGGAGGTTTTGTAGGAGAAAGAGGCTCCACATTGACAGGGGTCACCTCGTGAATAGCGGATTCTGAATTACAGCGATCTAGCAAGAGCTCTTTCCTTTGATGTTGACAGATCAGCTGAATGTGCTCGACCAGTTTGAGGATACGCTTCCTGTGGCCGGTGGCAGTGACTCCCACCCTGTTCAGAGCGACATTGTCCACATGACAGAAGTCTCGGGCGAGGAGAAATCCTGCCTGACGGAAATGGTCAAGATACCTCTCGAGGTGGATGGAAGCCAACAGGTCCTCTGCATCGGAGCATGGACCGATAGTTGCCATAGTGTGCATGGGTGCTCTTTAGGCTGCATGAAAAACAGCAGCAATTCCAGCCAAGAGCAGCAGACGACACCAGTCCTTCATCTGAGAAAACAAGCAAAGAAAATAGGTTAATGGTTAATGGAAGGTAGATCAAATTCTTGGAGGATTAAATTATAGGGGTGTAACGAAACCCTCATGTCAAGATTCGATACATATCTCACGATACTGAACTCACAGTACAATATTATTGTGAAAACACTGAATTATTTTAGATGAATATGCTTCCACTATTTCACTGGCTATATTTAAAATAATGTAGGCTATTTTTAACTGGTATTATTTGCTGTTAAGACATTTGGTATAGAAGGTGTGCGCGTGACCGGAGTGCCTGCAGTTACTCACAGTGAGTAGCAAAACGACTGACCGGCTGTATATGTTTTCAGTGTGAATGCCGCGAAAAACAAACACAACACATATAAAGTGGGAAAGAGCTTTGCGACTGACAGTACAAGTAGATTTGACAAAAAACCCTGAGGTATATTTTTACAGACTTCTTTAGAAAGAGGAGCAAATGGATCGCTGCAAATCACAGAAACAACTGGACTCATGTCTGCGAAAGGTGGATTTGCAGTTCACAGGCAAATTTGCTTTATGTTTAGGTCTGTATGGTTTTTTATGTTCCCAGTCAAAATCAGGCAAACATAAATGTCAGGCAACACGATTCCTGGCTGCATGTCAATATCCATGGATCACTGGATCTTTTAGTAAGTTGTAAGGAACACTATATTGAGTCCAACATTTAGTTTAAATTGATAAAATTGTTTGTTTTAGTCGCATTTTCGCAGTTTCTCCTATTAAATCCAGTCACGCAGCAGATCTTTTGCCACTCAGTCAGGCTGAGGGAAAGTGACGTCAATGCATTCCCTCTATTATCAGGACCCAAAAATATTACCCCACTGCATTATTATATGAAGAGTTCAGATGCAAAAGCCTCTAAATGCCATTTGAAATTTTCTTCTAGAATGATCATTTTTATCAAACTTGTATATTTAAGTTCAGTAATTTCACTTAAATGGCAATGATAATTACCTATTAATTGTTATTTAAGTGAAACTACTGAACTTAAATATACAAGTTTGATAAAAATCATCATTAAAGAAGAAAATTTCAAATGGCATTTAGAGGCTTTTGCATCTGAACTCTTCATATATAGTAGTTTAATGTAGTACTGACACTAAAACTTAAAGCAGCTGTATGCAATTGTGGCCAAATCTGGTAGTGCAATCACTTTTAAATTAGGCTGAGTCCATGATTGATAGATCGATGGAGGGTGACGCATCAGAACAAAACACAACTTGACAACATCAACATCAGTCAAGGGCTGCGACTTCACTTTTTAAATGACAATATCCTGGCCGGCCTACTGTTGTCAGTGATATAAGTATTTGAAATGAACACGATTTCTTAATGTCTAGTGACATATCAGGGAAAATGTATGATTAATTGAAATACATTTCTTGCATACATCCTTAAAAAAATTTCTCCAAAAAAAATATTTAGGGTGAACTATACACAATACAGATTCTCACTGTCCACGATACATATTGTTGCCCATGATCTCTTGTTTTCTCCTCTTTATTTGTAGTCTTTTCCTCAATTTTGGTCCCGTCAACCTAAACATATTAAAAGGTCTTTTATGACAAAGCCTTTTTCAGCAGGCTGAGAGTGAATCACCCAGACATTTCCAGATGAGGACATGACCCCGCTTATAGACTGCACTGCGTTGGAACAAAATAGTCAGTAAATGAATAAAAACAAATCCTTGTACAATTATTTGAAAACCAGCATTCATAGTCGAAACACATGGGAAAATCAGGATAAGCTGTAACAGAGAGCATATGCAAGGAACAACAATGCAGTCATATTTCTAAGGACTATTTTAAGAAGCCTCCATTCATTGAGGGAAAGCTGTTGAAAATTGTGAGAACTAGCAACAGTCGAGAAAGCAGACTCCACCAGGGTGGGCCTGGGAGAAAATCCACATGGGTGGGGCAAAGCTTGTTCAGCAGGGATGGCATAACTTCGGGAGTGAGACTGAGAGAGCGCTTTCTGTAAACATTTCTGACTGTGTCCTATGGAGAGATAGCACTTGAGAGCAGTGGCCTATGAGGAATCTCAAGGCTACAAGTGGCATACGGCCAAACTCAGGGACAGAGAGCTGCTACATTTTGTGACCTTGAAAAAGGGGCGGTGCCTGATGGGTGGCTGTGATGATTGGATAAACTTATCACAGGGTGTAAGAAATCCACAAAGGATTCACACTGTTCTCTTTCAAGGACATCTAGGAGGTACTTTTGAGCATGTACACTTTCTATTTGTGGCAGAGATGAATCAATCACTCCACCGCAATTATAAAACACAATAAAAGTCCGAAATGTGTTAAAAAGCCTTGATAATGTCAACAGGGTCTGTTTCACTCAACAACACTGAGTCCGAGTAGAAAAGCAGACGTTAGAAGGCTGTTAAAAAAGGTTGATGAATCATATCCTCGTCTTCCTTTGTCTGGACTCTGGATGCTAACCTTTGGCTCGGGCACTCTGATTCACCGGATCCCACGGTGAGGGGGGAGGCAGGAAGCTTGTGAGGAGGACTGATAAAGTGTGACCCGAGGAAAGGAGAGAAATGGGTCTGGGTGTTTTCTTTTTCCTCTAGCAGCGATGCTGAAAAACTCCCTTCAGCAAAATGAAGCCAACCAGTGACAAAACATCTGCAATTAATTCAATTTCAGCTCCACTCAAATTTGTCCTATAGATAACTTCAGTCCTAACTACGCTGTCTGTTTTTGTTCTTGTAAATGTTCAAATTTATACTTAGATCAGTGATGGCATTGTAATATTTGCCTATTGAGTTGCACTCTTGCATTTGCATAGTGAATTATGATGATTCTTGTGATTCTTGTGTGGAGCCAAAAAAGACATGTTGAGTGTCATGAAAGTGACTGTCATGCGCCATTTTAACTGCATTACCATTCAAAAGTGATCAGTAAGATTTATTTGAATCAGCAAGAATGCATTCGATTGATCAACAGTTAGATTAAAGATTTGTTACAAAAGAGTTCCTGAATAAAAATATATCGCTGTTTCCACAAAACAAAAATAAGCAACCGTTTTTAACATTGATAATAAAAATAAATGTTTATTGAACATCAAAGTAGCATATTCATATTTTTGAAGGAACATGTGACACTAAAGACTATAATGATGCTGAAGATTTAGCTTTGCCATCGCAGGAATAAATTACATTTTAAAATATATTAAAATAGAAAACGGTTCATATATATTGTAATAGTAATTGTAATTAATACTGCATTTATGATATAAATAAATGCGAGTTAAGAGACTTCTTTCAAACATATTTGAAAAAAACTCACAGATCCCAAACTTTTGAACAGTAGCATACAGAGAACCAACTTGAAAACCAAGCTTGCACTATTTCCTTTTGGATTGGCTGCACTTAATGCAGTGCACATGGTTCAAAATTAATACCAATTGACTATAAATGCAACAAACACCTACTCATTTTGCAGCAGCATTTCTCAACCCCTACACAAAATAGCTGTACTTCTCACACATGGTTTTGAGTGAAACCACACAAACATACATTACGTCACATTTTATCAGCTTGATGTGCGCGGGTTCCCAGTGCTCGATCTAGCTTGCAACCGCATGTACAACAGTTGTGTGGTTAAAACAGGGACTATTTTGCAAGGGAAAATAAAGCCATGAAAGGTTAAAACACAATTTGTATCTTAACACTTAGCACACATTGCACTGCATAAGACAGCAGATTTATTACTCAACAGACAGCACAGAAAACTTCCATCTGTTTATTATTGGTTTATATTATTGCTTAGCCTACTCATTTTAAAGGGATAGTTCCCCCAAAAATGAAAATTCAGTCATCACTTACTCACCCTCAAGTTGTTCCAAACCTGTATGAATTTTAGGGATGTGAAGGTGAAATTTTCCCACCGGGTAATCGGGTGTGACTACACCGGTAATACAGGTATCACAGAGGGGGTTTGGGACATTGGAGTTTTTCCCCCGCTCTCAATTTGCTTTTAAATTACATATGAATGCCTGTGCAACAATTAGCGGCAATTTGGGGGCAAATGCTTGAAACTGTCTGGTTAGGTTACCAACATTTGTTTAAATATCTTCTTTCGTGTTCAACCGAACAAAGAAACTCTTTGGTTTTGGAACAATTTTGGAACAACGTGAGGATGAGTAAATGATGACAGAATTCAGACAAACATGAATGATACCTCAAAACATGCTTGTTGAGGAAAGGTATGGCGTTACTTTTTGATTTACGGGTACAGAGGAACTAGACTTCCATTACTTTTAGACTTTATTTTTGCCTAATAGACTTTTAAATGGTCTAAAAAAAATTTAAATAGGCTTTGAAGATTCAGGAGCAGTCAAATATAATTTTTTTGACTTAAGCCAGAAAGTAACCATCCAAAGCACCCTACAGCCTTTTAAGAAAACTCTGTCATGGACGCAGAGGAATGACGCACTATAAACGGGTTGGTGTTTGTCTAATGACCACATTCCCTCCATGCTGTGACCTGAGGATGCCGGGGGAAGGGTCGCTTGCAGACAAGATTGAGACGTCTCGGGCAGGCCTGTTCTCGTAGATGAAGGCCTAGAAATGGTAAGGTAACCAGCAGGACACCATAACCATTTCATTCCAGGAACATCTTCCTCATCTTCCTTCCAAATCACCCTCTACATCTTGACTGAGCCAGTAAACAAAGCAAGATGGCCACCATCTAAACAACAATCCACATGTATTTTGCTGGGAAAACTGTGCCCCAGCTTTGCTCTGTCCGCCCTGCCCTAACTATATTTATCTTAATGGCCGATCTGGGTTTTCTCCGAACTACTGAATACACAGGATACAGCTGTCCCTCAAACAAAACCCTCCTCCTCTCCCACTCTAGAGGAAAAAAGGAGGTACAAAGAGATACAAAGAGGAGATCATCGCAGCCATCTGAACCAATAAGCAGGTTCAACGTGATCTCACGAGCATTCATGTACGGTAAAACCAAACTATGTAAATTTGCATTAACACTAAAACGTACAACATTGATATTTATTGACAAACTAAAACATAAATTACTTATGCATTAACAACTTCACAGATGTACAAATATTTACGAATGCTTATTTAATCTAATTCGTGGAATTAAAGGGATAGATCACCCAAAATATGAAAATTATTTCATGAATTACCCTCATGTTGTTCCAATTAGACTTTCGTCAAAGATATTGCAATCTGAGAACTTTCAGTCTGATCATCATAAGTATCATCATAAGTAGTCTTCTTAGAAAATTTTGGACTAAACCGCTCAATTCATAATTGATTCGTTTTTGATCCCTTTATGTACAGTAAAGTAACTGTTAAAAATGTGTCTGTCATTGAATCATTCATTCAAGAGATTTTTTTAAAAGGTTTGATTCATATAGTAATGAAACAGTGAAGTCTTCATGAGAGAGTCATTCGAACTGATTTTTTAAATAATGAATTCAAATTAATAATAAAATAAAAAAAAACAATAGCAATTGACATTTTGTCAAACCTCTAGTAAATTACATGTTATTTTGTTTAATTGTCAGGTGATTCTCAATATATCCAGATTCGTGCAGCTTACGTCAATGATATCACAGCCTCATTGGCCCTCGCCTGCTTTGGACTTCCCAAATGGCACCCAACAGACTCACACTCTTCCCACGAGTCAGCACTTTTATGATGTACGCCTAATGCTGTTTTGACTGTCGGGAAGAGCACCCTTCTGAAACCTAAAATGACAAATGGGACACCCTACGGTCTCGTGGACTTCACGATCATGCAGTGGCCATTGTAAGTCCACAAGATCGTAAGTGCATTTGAACTGTGCCATTAGGGACAGGGCCTTTGTCATCGATTGCGACATAATGTGTTTTGGGTGATATGCATTTCAATGAGTTGTGCGTGTCTTCAAGTGGATCGGGATAAGGCATTGAAGGATTAACAACTTAAAGAGAGTTTTGAGAATCCAACACATTGTCGTTAGGACTGCTTTGGTACTATCAATTACATACAGAAGGAGTGGGCTCAAAATATTTATATCCCAGTATTCTTTTACTAATTATGTCATGTACATTTTTCTGCCAGCCCAGCCCAGTTACATTTTTTATACTCTCTGCAAAAGTGGTTATGTTTAGGTTTGGGTGTAGGGTTAAGGGATCTAAAATATAATGGTTAAAAAAACAATACAATTATATTTAAAATGTAAAGTTGTTTTATACCTGTAAAAAAACGAATCAAGTTTAAGTTTTGGATTTTGTCAAAACATCTATATTTGTACATTTCAGCATCAATTTAAAACATACAAAGGTGTATGTTTTGTGTCTAAAAGTTACGTACTCTGAATATATAAACAATGACACCAGGCTGGTCTCCATGAAAAGATACTGGTTTGAATGAAGCAGAACACCTCACAAAGGCAAAACTTTGACATGCTGACCTTGACAAGCTCAAAACCATCAAAATAAATGAAATTGGAACCATTTTTTACAGACATCAAAATGCTAGACACCAAAGCTGCAAACAGAATAAGACGGTGTTTCGTTGTCACAAGGACGGCAACAAACACATTGAGTTTATGCAATTTAAGAGCCACTCATATACACATTTCCTCTTTCAGCATTGTATTACCAAATGAAGCCAGGGATGACGCATGTTTTTTTAATTTTTTTAATGAAGGGAGTAAACAAGACTTACGCTTACGTACGTGGTCACTAAACATTACCACACTTTTCTTTAACAACTGTTGCTTTGCATGAAGATTCAAATTTTACCAATACACACTTTATCAATAGAGTGTAATAATTTATGTGATACTGTATTTTTAAGAGTTCATTGATGAAATAATTTAAAAGTTTTTGTGTGAATTAACCCTTTAAGCTCTCATAAGCTATTTCTACAACCTAGATTTTTCATGTCTGCAGACATTTTGGCAGGTCTCCCATAAATCAAGCAACTCAAGCATAACATGCATTTCATTTTGAATTACTTATGTATGTTGTTCATGCATGTCTTCCCTTTTTTATTTATGCATAAGTCCTACTAATACCAACTGTGACGGCACCCCAAAGCTGTTTCAATTCCAACCACTCTATTCGAGTTTATTTGAAATACAACACTCTTTCAAATTATAATGGAAAGGACTGGACTAGTTCTCCAGAACTTTATGGAAGGGGAAATATTTATCTGACAGAATGAGCCCTGAATGATCTTGGGTTGCTATCTGAACAGCAATCTTTATCAGCAGAAAATTACTATTCATATTCTCCAGAGATTCAAACCACTTGGAGGTAATACATGCAACAGGAAGTGAAGACATTCACAAATAAATCAAATAAAGCCTCGGCTAGTGCAATACAGTCTCATGAGAGTGTTTTTTTATTCTTTATTTATTATTGTGCATGATCATTTGTTGTGTTTTTTATTTTCATTAATGAAAAAAAAGTGCTTCAAGACTCATTGATTGCTTAGCTCTGTGGGTTATGATGGAGCCAAATGAGAAAAACATATTTCCCTCTCATATCCTACTCAAACATCCCTGGGCTTCCAGAACGAACAATTAGTGGAAGCTGTAGAGTCAAAAGCAATTTGTGAAACGCAGGAATCAAGGAGGCTTTTGGGATGCAGTGTGCTGGGGGGTGTGTATAAATAACAGTGAAGCACTATTGTGTGACACAATACGTCATTGTTCACAACTGGTAGAGGCCGCGTAGCTGAGATGACAGAACACACTTGTGTTTTAATATGCTGGACCTCTGCTCAAACACATATTCAGATCTCAGTTCCCTAACTGCATTGAAACCACACTGCTGCTAGATAACCTTCGCTTTCACATTTAAGTCATGTCAGATCATTTAATGTCCAACAAAAATGGAGAGAACGAAAAAAATATACAAATAGTGTACAAGGCAATGTATGCATACAGTCCACCAAAACACAAGCAAACACATTCACTACAATCTTCCTCTCTCTTTAAAATCAGTTTGTTTTATGTTACTATGTTTATTTTATTTTTTTACTGTATTTCTTTACAATTCAGTGCGTTTATTAGAGTATATTTATCATTTATTTGTGGAATATGTTGTGATATTATATTATAAAGAATTCTGAAAAATGTAACAGTTTTCATTAAAAAAATTAAGCATCACTTGTTTTTGCCATTGATAATAATTAGAAATGTTTCTTGAGCAGCAAATCAACAAACTAGAATGATTTCTGAAGGATTGTGTGACACTGAAGACTGGATGCTGAACATTCAGTTTTGACATTGTATGAATATATTTAATCTTTAAAATATATTCAAATAGAATACTGTTATCTTAAATTGTAATATCATTTCACAATATTACTGTTTTTATTGTATTTAGGATTGGTAAACACCAGAAACTTCTTTCAAAAATCTTAAAAAAAAAAAAATAACCCCAAACTTTTGAATGTTATTATATTATATTATATTATATTATATTATATTATATTATATTATATTATATTATATTATATTATAGACCATTTTGCAAGATGTAAACAACACTGGTCCAGAAACACTTCCTGCGTCAGTTTGTAAATGGTTTCTTTATTTCAAATGTTTGTTTAACTTTTTGATTCAATTGTATTATGTTCTGGTGGTTGTATTTTATTCCCAACGTTTATGTAGTGTTAAAAAAAAACTGAAACAGGAAGTGCTTCTGGACCAGTGTTGTTTACATCTTGCAAAATGGTCTATACAGCCTAACACATTTTGCCTGTTATTATAACCCTAAAAAAATTGTTTTAATTAATCAGATGAACTGAATGACTGCATTAAATCAATAATACAAAATAATATCACTGAATTAGATTGTACGCTTGAAATTAAAAATCTAGAATTTTTCCAAAGGTCAGATCTCTTCTTTATTTGAATATATTTTCCATCCTCCAAGTGTCATGAAGAGCACAGGGGGAAATACAGGTCAGATTATGCAACAAGATTTATCACAATTAATACACTCGTCCATGTTGTGAGAACTTAATCTGCATTTGGGAATCTGTTCAGTTAGACATAGGCCTATGGCATATACACACTTGTACTTTAAAAATAATGATTCATCCCAAAAAGTGGGGGGTGCACGTTGAGTTACTTAAATCTTAACATCAGGCATTCACTTGCTGGATGAACATGTTTCCTGCATAAAGTCCTTCAAAATGGCATGTTATTCTTGCAAATTCCCTGGAGACTCCCACAGTTGTTGTGTCTGTAAGGAACTGGCAAATTAGCTCGGAGTGTTTCTAATTCAGTTTAATGTAAACTGTCCCATTCAGAGAGCGTAAAGCCTCTGGGTATCGGATTCCTCAGTGAGCAACACCTACATAGCGAATCTTTAGTTACACTGGAATACACAAGGATTGAAAGCACTGCTGATCCTGACATGAGAATCAATGGAATTCCATCTGAACAGTCAACACTCTGCTGGGTAACGTTAACGTTAATAGTTAAACTCACGACCTTAAAAATAACCTTTACTTCACAGCCCGTTCACCTTCTTTACAAAGTCTGGGATGATTTCAGACCACAAAGAGATGTGAACTATGAAAAACGAGCTTTAAATGAAGTTGTATAATAAACGCACACTAAATTTGAGAAGATCTTACTGTATAACGTTCCACACACTACATACTGGGCAGCCTTCAGAAATGAATAAAACTGTCTGCTATCTGACAGCTTGTTATGTTGTCAAATATAAGTTTGAATGTAAAATTACCTTACCTTAATTAGATAGCGTTACATATTCCGTGACATCCCGTTGTGTTGATGCGGAGCGTTTTAACTCCAGTAATGTGAGAAGTGCTGGAGAAAGTTTGAGTGTTGAGCTGCTGAGTTGTGTTTGTTATGCCGGAGATTCAGTGCACGCAAAGCGCTGCTGCTGAGAATTAACTGAGCTCTTAAAGGGACAGCGACACCGACGTTCACTTTGGCGCAGGCCACAAAAACTTAAGGCCTATCACAGTTTCGAAAATACACAATTAACCACGTAAAGAATGGTTAAGTTGTTCCTCCAACTAAAATAAAGAAGTTAATGGAGAAATTATGTAAACATGCTAACATTTTCCATTTTCCATTATTAAGTTCCGTATCAATTACAAAGTATTACTACTGACCTATAAAGCCCTAAACGGTCTAGCACCTGTATATTTGTTGGACTCTTCTATCACCCTACTACAATCCATCGCTTCGCTAAATTCGAGGCTGGTCGTTAAGTCTGTTCTCACATTTAGCTGCTAAACTCTGGAATAGCCTTCCTGATATTGTTCGAGGCTCAGACTCACCGTTCCTCGTTTAAAACTAGATTAAAGACGCATCTATTTAGCCAAGATTTCACATAATGCATACACAATTCATCGAATGCATTAATATTATAATTATTTCCCATCTGCATGCTTTTCTGCTGGTAAATAGTGTCCGTCAGCTCCAGTTTGTCTCAGCCTCTCAGGGAGACTTCAGATGCCCCAACACCTGCGATGAGATGAAAACGCCTGAGAAGAGACGACTCAACGCTGGCGATATGTTATGCACTAAATTAATACTTGATGCATTTTTCTACGTACATTTCTGAAATACACTTTAAGCTGCTTTGAAACAATATGTATTGTAAAAAGCGCTATGCAAATAAATTTGAATTGAATTGAATTGTATTTTCCCTCATGAATTTCCTGTGGCTTTTTTAGAATGGCAGTTTGATTTCTTGTAAAAGGTTTGTGGTTAGCATTTGGCTAATTAGCCTGCACAAAGAGACTTTCACGTGTTGTTCTACAATATAAACTACACACAGGAATTAATCAAACGTTTAACCACTTGCAAAATAAAGACGTTTACGTTAACACAAGGATGGACGATTTGTCAACAATTGTAGTCCTTAAGGCTAGATGTCTAGTTTAGCCTACAAATCAAGTACTAACAGTTTTAGCTAAACTTGAGCTTATTTAACACTTTTTATGCAAATCCTACAGTTAAAATCTCATACTGTCATAGTGAAGTCATGGAAAGTTCACAATAGGGTGCTTTTAGGTTTAAAATGAAAATGATGTGAAGAGAGGCTTGGTCTGTGCAGCAAAAGCAATAGGACTTTTGTTGTGAGAGAAAGCCAGAGGGTTCACTTATGAAGTTTCCTTTTCTCCCCTACAGCCCAATCTGATTGATGTAGGCAGGAACTGTTTCAAATGGGAAGCAGGAAGTGTCTGAGACAATAGAGGTTTTGAGGAGTGGTCCCCAGCTGTACATTTATGGATGAAGAAAAAGGATATCGTCTTGAATAAACTTTCCTCATAGCCAAAAAAATAAAAAGAGGAAAGCATTTCTACTCAAATATAACAAATATTTAAAGCTGAGATGGATAAAGTGGCCAAATGCTAAATACTAAATAGAATTTCCTTAAAATTTTAGATACAATGCTGTTAATACAAATAAATAATAATAAAAAAAAAACTAGTTTTAGAAATACAAACTTTTTATTCTCAAGAAAATACATTGAGAAAAATCCCATGGAGTCAAAAGCACACACAGAGAGATTTGAATGTACTAAACAACTGATTTTTGCAGCCCTTGAGGCCTCTTCAAGGCAGATTTTTGTCACTTTAAGGAACGTTTAAGGAAGTCCTTGCTATCTGCAACCTCACACAGGAAATCTCACCACTGAATGCAATGCTGAAAAGAAAATGGTGTTTTATAAGTTATATAACTGCTGAAAGAGTTGTGCCATCTTAAAGAACCAGTTTGAACCATACTGTAACTGTTAAAAATGAAAAAAAAAGGTTTGAACCAAGAACATTTTAGTAATATAAAAAACATTTTACAATATAGTGAACCATTTCTGAAGTGTTTCATGGATGTTAAAGGTTCGTCAGTGAACCACAAATGCCAAAAAATAACCTTTATTTTTTAAGTGTAGGCTAATAAACTTACATTCATGTTGTAAGCAGAAACTTAGACTAATAAAGCGACACTTCCGGAGTATGATACTGTGTAAGACGTTTTATACTGAATGAGTTCATCATACGCTATAAAAAGTATTAAACATGTCTAATACAACCAGACCCTTCTTCAGTGTGTGGACATAGAATGGAGGTCTTTAAATCTCTGCAAAACACTATAATATTGTTATGAGTGTATGATTTATAGAGTAAATGTAAGGGAACCATCCTCGCCTGAGAATGAGACACACTCACTTTCACATGCACACAGAACACAAGGAGAGTCACTGTGAGTTATCTTAGGTCTCATCATCATCACTGTGGTGCTGGGCCTTCTCCTCGTTCACACAGCTCTCATCGATGTTCTCCAGTGAATCTGCTCTCTGCACCGTCAGGTCAGCTACACTGATGCAGGGCAGCGTGTTCTGCTCCGGGTACCTCCACGGCTTCAGGTTCGGGTCGTGTTTCCGCTTCCACTCTGGGTACTTTAGGCAGGCTTTGTAAATCTTTTTCATGGCCTGTGAGAAGAAAAAAAAAGAAGTTGAAAAATCTGGACCATGCATTTGATGTGCTTCTTTTATTTGTAGACCTACCATCTATGGTCATTACAGAAAATCTTGTATGAGCTGCATATTTGAAACCACCAGATGGCAGCAAAGGAAAACTGTTTTTTTTTTTTTTTTTTATAGCCAAACTGAGCTTGACTGTTGAGTGATGCAAACAATCAGTACAGTAACTTGACCTCACAGAAATACATTTGTTTTTAAAGATATATTCAGATAAAAACTGTTTGTTTTAATTGTTATAATATGAATCATTTTAAAAAAAAAATTTGTAAAATTTTACAGTTTTACTGTATTTTTTACATAAATGCAGCCTTGGTGAGCATTAGACTTTTTTTTTTTCCAAAAATATTAAAAGAGCACAAATGTTTGAACAGTAGTGTATGTATGCAACTGAAATGCGCTGAAAAATTGCCATACACTATGGACCAATATTGCAATGATATTTCACAATATTACTGAATAAGAACATTACATTTTAAAAGATCCTACCAACCGCAAAGTTTATGTATCATTCTTAATATATATAGAATCTCAGAATGCTGAATTTCATTTAATCATTTATTTACATAATATATATTTCGATGCACTTAGCTCTTACCTTTGGTGCCACAAACTGTGAGACTCTGTTCACCACCCACTTAGGTAAAGATCCTGAAAATAAATCAAGATAAAGTTTTAAAACTATACATTCTGCAGTAAAAAAAAATGCAAATATCACCATAAATGAAAAAAAATATCACCATAAATGTAATAAAAAAAGGTGTGCACCACTGAATGCATTTTGTGTATCCTAAATGCACAGCAGCACTGCTAGGTAAAATAAAATTAAATAAAATGAAATTTTGGGGGTGTTTTATACCCAGCTGTCATAAACCCATTTCATGGACATTGTATATACTGTAATTTTGTCTCTCTGTCCCTGAAGTGTACTATACAACAGTAATAAACTGAAACTAAGTTTCTGTCCCACAGGTCACAAACAGCTGGTGCTGCATCATAGCAACGGAAGACATTAATAATCAAAGCCATCGCCCAGAGCAGCATGGAAAAGATGACATCAGCAAATTCATAAAATATGTGTAAAGTAGAAGTTTCAAAGGCTTCCTGGCTCCCCACTCTGTACAGCACAAGAGCATTCTTAAACGGAGAAGAAAAATAGAGTTGGCCACGACTAAAAGACATTACACACAATTTCACTCTAAACACATGCATTTTCGCACCATGATGACACTGCACCCCTCTTTAAAATGATATGACGTTCTTGTATACGCCAATTCTACAGGCCTGAAACTGTAAACAGTGTTAGTGTCAAGTAAACACTCATATTCATGGTGTACTTTTCCACCACAAGAAGGGCAGATCTGACACTGACTCCATCGTAAAAAGTGAAACCTTTATTTATTTATTTATTTATTTTGGTTCGTAAATGATACTGAGAAATGTTCACCTCGTGGATCCACCTGCGTCAAGTAATAAAGAGTACAGCAGTTTGCTCCATTGGATTGGATCAAGTACCCAGTGAGTAATGAAACAGCTCTGACATAATCCTTCTTAGGTGGGTATTCCTGAAAAAATAGCAACAATGAGAATTTAGTTTCATGGGAATGAGTAAATGTTTAAATTTGTAAAAATGGATATAATATACAAACAGTCTGACCATTATTTGACCTATTAAACAGCTGAGGTATTAAGTAGAAGCTGTCGTTATTGCAAAATAAACTCTACAGTGAAGCTTATCATATGGCTATGCACAAAATTAATAAATAGCCAATGTAGCATACACGTGAAATGAATAGCAGAGTCCATATAACAAATAACGAAAATGGCAAATTCTTGGAACAAGAATTGGAACAATATCACCCGCTGTTGATAATGACACTAGTTATCTTTATTACAGTTCTGTTTATCATAAGGTTGCGCTGCAGTTATCTCGTTATGTCTGTTTAAATGCTCAAACTCTTTAAAAGAGTAGTTCACTTTTAAAAAAAACTTTGCTAATAATTTACTCACCCTCATGTCATCCAAGATGTCCACGTCTTTCATTCTTCAGTCGAAAAGAAATTAAGGTTTTTGATGAAAACATTCCAGGATTTGATGAACGAGTTCGAACAGGAGAATCACGAATGCTCATCACAGAACAGAGCAGGTGAGCATTTGTGCTTATAAAACTTACATTTTTGTATTTCTTTTTTAAATGACCAATCGCTTCGCTATATAAGACCCTTATTCATCGTCTGGTGTCGTTTAAAGCCCTTTGAACAGTTTGCAGTTTGCACTGAAACTCTCATTTGGACCTTGAACTATTTGGTTCCCATTGAAGTCCATTATATGGAGAACAATCTTGGAATGTTTTCATCAAAAACCTTAATTTCTTTTCGACTGCAGAAAGAATGACATGGACATGCATCTTGGATGACATGGGGGTGAGTAAATTATCAGCAAAAGTTTTTTTTTAAAAGGTGAACTACTCCTTTAATGCAGGATGGATTCTGATTGGATGTCAATGATTTTATCATCCATCAGCTGGAAAAAAAAACATTGTGAAACAGATTCCAATACCATTCCTCTGTGCTGTAATTGTTATAGTTGTGATGTGGACTCTGCAATTCTTTTTAGAACTATAAACAGGCCTTTTCTCTCTATAAACATTTACAAAGTCTACTTAGCAAGTGTTCTGTTGAGATTTTAAAAGTTGTGTACTATATCACAGACTTTGGAAAATAATTGCAACAACGTATAAAACAATCAATCAATCTAGCAATAAGACAAGCACTGCAACAATATTGCAGTTAGTATTAATACTGAAATCGGTCGGTTTGACAAAAAATAAAAATTAATAACAAAGACATAAGATAGCACCAGAATATGTTTGCATGGAACACTGGTTTCAGTTAACCAGATAAAAGGATACACAGCATGGCCATGGTGGACAGCCAATATTAGCATGACTGACCAATCAGAATGAAGAGAGCCGTATAATTAACCGATTTATTTCCGATTTAAAGGTAGGGTGAACAACTGTCCTGTTTTCCCAGGACATGTCCTGTTTTCATATAACAATATAACAATTTTCTATCCATACAGAGGAGGCATAACCTACTTTAAATGTATTGACTGGTTTTTGGTAATCAAAATATGGTCACCCTATTTAAAGGTGACCTATTAAGTCCCTTTTTACAAGATGCAATATAAGTGACCCCAGAATGTGTCTATGACGTTGTAGCTCAAAATACCCCACAGATAATGTATTATACATTTTTGAGTGGAAGGGAAAAAAATGCTGTTTTTGTGCAAGTATCTTTAAATGCAAATGAGCTGCTGCTCCCCAACCCCCTGTCCGGAAGGAGGTGGAGCCTGTACAGCTCCTGCCTCACATACTCTGCGAAAAACTCAAATATCCGTTTGGTTTTGATTATCATTTCTATTGAGACATTGCAGTCCTTCATCATGAAAGTTTTTTTATTTACATGCGTTTTATAGCCGTATTAGTGTATATGAAGAGTTCAGATGCAAAAGCCTCTAAGTGCCATTTGAAATTTTCTTCTAAAATGGTCATTTTTATCAAGCTTATATATTCAAGTTCAGTAATTTCACTTAAATAACAATTAATAGGTAATCCTCATTGCAATTTAAGTGAAATTACTGAACTTAAATATACAAGCTTGATAAAAATGATCATTCTAGAAGAAAATTTCAAATGACACTTAGAGGCTTTTGCATCTGAACTCTTCATATATGCCACTTTTATAACATTTAAGTTTCTGATACATTTTTTTTTCTGAGCGTACACATCCAAAGCACACGCTCAGAGAGCAGCGCATTCCATGAGTTTTAAACAAAGTTAATATCTTTCATGTCTTATTGCGCTTAAGCTTCAAATGGCTTATTCTGAGACACTGCTTATGATTTATGGGGATTTAAAAAGTGTGTTATGTACACACTGTCAAGTCGACACACATTTATGTTCATTAAGTACAATTAATTTTGCATAAAAGGTCCCCTTTAAAAGCAAAAAAATCAACATATTGAGTAAGATTTTAAATAGAGAAGATAAGGGAAGAAGACACAAGCCTGTTGATGCTAGTCATGTTGTTATTCATTACAACATGGGGATTCGGTCACCCGACAGCGTGATTGATACAGTCCCTCTGTCAGACTTTTGTCACTGATCTGGCCTCTTCTGTTTCAAGTGACTCAAGACCTGAAAGGCTGACCTACATACCATCTGGCATACTGTGGTGGACTATATTTGTTGGCTGTGCCAAAATGTTTAATAAAATCAATGCTATACAGACCAAACAATCCAGACCAAACACAGACATACCGGGTGTTTGACAGAGTAGTTGATTATCAGATAGTCATTGCCAAGAGGAAGCCATGAGCGCATGGTGACAAAGTCTCTGTTCTTCAATGGACTTGGACATTTCCCTGTAAATACACAAGGGCAAGATTTAGAGTCCTGTTAAACCATGGAAAGGCAAAAAGGTAAACTTGAACCAATGCATAATAATTTCATATGGTATACAATAAGTCTAACACTTATATGTAGTTTTCACAAGATGTAAGATGTTCTGACAAAAAAAAAAACTCAAAATGATTTTTGCGGTATAGAATTGCAATTGAAATGCCTTTTAATACTCTTTCATCACTCTTTTGCAATTGAATCATCTTGTATTATTGCTTTAAATTACTCTTATCCGTGCCTCTTTATAAATTATTGCTATTATTCATGCACCGTATATCAAAAAGCACTACATTAGAAATATACGGCGATAAAAAAGTTAATTATCATTAAATGTATTGCAAACACCCACAACTATCACAAATATTGGCTTAATAATAAAAATGAAAAGTCTACTGGTGGTCAGTTCTAACCTTTTTTTACAGTCTATAGTTCTAACAAAGAGAAAAAAGTAGCGACTCACAGGAATAATATCCTACGTCTGCGTTGACTGTCAGTCTTCCGATATCGAAAGTGTCGATCATGTTGGAGTCCCATTTTTTCCGGTAGCTTGTGTCGTGCAAGACGTCGTAGAGAGTCTCTGCTGTCACGTCCTTGCACACGATTCTCATCTAAGAGGAAAAACAGACTCTTTCAAATCTTAAGAACTTTTCCATTGCAGTTGAATACAAACTTCACAAAGTGTGTTCAGTGTTGAAAAATCTCCTGTAGTTTTCCCTGTGGTGCTGCCATGATAAAGTGCTGACAGATTCTGAATGCATTCTGTTACTGGGCAGATGAAAAATGAAAGCATTTCACTGTGCTGACAAAGGCCAGCTACCATTTATACATCAATCTATTCATTCCCTTATCTTTAAAAGCCCTGCTTTCAGGGGTGACTCAGCCATGTCAGGTCACAAAGAGTAAAAGTTGACACAGCAAACAGTGAGTATGGATCTTCAGTAGAGTGAGAGATACAGTGGAGCTTTAAATTGAAACATGTCGACTTGCATTTGCATTTCAAGCTTGTTTTTCAGGTATACTGTAGCTACCTAATCCTTTAACTCTGTCTGGGTTGGGAGGAGGGTCGGGTAAGCATGAATACATAAAATGCAATGTGATCAGATATTGTATGACCCCACGACGCAAGCAACCGTGTAACTCAATCAACTCTACCCAGGCATCATTTAATAATTTATAGCCAACCCCCTACAACCCCAGCTTGATCAGTCCCTCCTCACTGCCATTGGGTTCCTTGGAACAAGTTTTATTTAGTCTTCATGAATGGAATGTCGTCAAAGCCTACAAAGCTCAATTATTCATGAAAAGAACGCATCAGTGCCCCGGAGAGCTGCGTGAATTATTGAAGAAGGTCTGTCATCTTCTTTCATTTTTGCAGCCGTAACGGGTCTAAATCATTTTACCAACACCTGCCTGAGACGTTGCTGAAACAGCCCTCATGCATACAAGTCCTCACATCGGGGAAAGCTTTTAGCCATTGTCAGAGAGGTCAACAGAAGTGCTTTACACACACACACACAAAAAAAAAAAAAACACAGAAAAAGAGCCAAACTCTTCTAAGACAGCAGGAGGGGCTCAGGTTTCCTCATCTGAGCCTGCTGTTACCACAGTTTTCCACTCTTAATTTTTCAGCACATCTCATGGGTGCAGTGTGTTCCTGAGAGACCTGTCTTTCATCTCAGAGACTGTGGATCATGAAGCAGTCAGGCCTGGCCTGCTTCACTGTACGCTGAGTTTCCCCTGGGCAAATGGCCCATAACCATATCTCTGTTTGTTTCTCTTAGATTTTCTCTGAAAAGCTTCTGGAGTCTGTGAGGAGAGCTACTGGTCAGGAGCCTATAAGATATACTGTAGTTTACTGCAGACATTGATATACTGCTGTTCCACAAGCAATGTATATTTAATACCAACAATTTTGTATACCCCCCTCTTTCACATACTTTTGACAGAACTTACTTGATTTCATGCACAGTACTGGTTGAGGCTGAAGTAGATATCTACACTCTAAAAAATGCTGGGTTGTTTTAACCCAACTTTGGGTCAAATATGGACAATCCCAAACATTGGGTTAAAAATGTCATTAAAAAATTTAACCCAATGGCTGGGTTTATCCATATTCGACCCAAAGTTGGGTTAAAACAACCCAGCATTTTTTAGAGTGTATTAAAAACTAGCTCATTTACAGCAACAACATTAATAGTAATATGAAGAGTTCAAATGCAAAAGCCTCTAAATGCCATTTGAAATTTTCTTCTTTAATGATGATTTTTATCAAACTTGTATATTTAAGTTTAGTAATTTCACTTAAATAACAATTAATATGTAATTATCATTGCCATTTAAGTGAAATTACTGAACTTAAATATACAAGCTTTATAAAAATGATCATTCTAGAAGAAAATTTCAAATGGCACTTAGAGGCTTTTGCATCTGAACTCTTCATATACACTATCATTCAAAAGGTTGGGGATGGTAAGACATTTTTAAAGATTATTTTGAAAGAATTTTAGTTAGCATGAACTAACCATGAACAAGATCTCTGTTCAGCATTAGTTAATATTTGTTAACGTTAACTATGTACTAATGCATCAATTCATATTAACAGCATGGTTAGTTAACATTAGTTAATGGATTAGTTAACATGAACTAACCATGAACAATGCCTGCAAATAGCTTTACTGTTTTGTAAGGTTAACTTACTGTACATATTTACATTAGTTTACACATTTGACACACACTATGTATGTATTTCTAACTCACCATGTAACCCTAAATGTAAAAACACTGATGTGTACCTTATCAACACTCTATACTGCTATATTGATTTGTCAGTAGACATAGATATTTCTACAGTCGAATGTGTTCATGTTTATAACCATTTTACTATCATTACTTGCATTCAAATAAGTATTTATTAATGGATTTAGTGAACCTTATTGTATAGTGTACAATAATGCATTTTCTTATGCTCACTATGGCTGAATTTACTTAATCAAATACAGTAAAAACAGCAATATTGTGACATATTAATATATCTATTACATATTGTAATAATTTTAAATATAATTTATTCATGTGATGGCTAAGCTGAATTTTCAGCATCATTACTCCAATCCAAAGTGTCACGTGATCCTCCAGAAATCATTCTAATATGCTGATTTGATTCTCAAGAAACATTTGAAGAGTTCAGATGCAAAAGCCTCTAAATGCCATTTGAAATTTTCTTCTTTAATAATGATTTTTATCAAACTTGTATATTTAAGTTCAGTAATTTCACTTAAATAACAATTAATAGGTAATTATCATTGCCATTTAAGTGAAATCACTGAACTTAAATGTACAAGCTTGATAAAAATGATCATTCTAGAAGAAAATTTCAAATGGCACTTAGAGGCTTTTGCATCTGAACTCTTCATTTCTCATTATTATCAGAGTTGAAACAGATGAATAATAACTGAATAATAGGAAGTGAACCACAGATCCCATTCAATGGCAAACGTATGTGTAACAAAGTAGCCTAGGTCTACTGGTATTTAATAAATAATTAGACCTACTAGTGACTAATTGAGCAGATAGGGTAGGCCTACTAGTCACTATTGGATTACTATTTAAAAAAGTAAAAGTATACAAAGATTAGCCTACATGTTAAAGTATTGCCTGCCATAGCTACCATACACTGCATTTAATGTTTTGATAAGCAAAAAAAAAAAAAAAAAAAAAGATAAAAACGAATTTCATATTTAATTTGTTCATATACAGACAATTCAAAGTCACTCATGGTGTAGCCTAATATCGTAAAATATACTGGAGTTTGTAGCATTTTAGACGGATGCCACTGTGGACTGAAAGCAGAGTGTAAACAAACTAGTATCCGCATTGCAACGCACTTCACTTGCCTTGAGTTTCTGCACAGTTTTGCACTCCTCGTCTCTACACCACACCGTCACTACTCCTTTGTTATAACGGGCGACCCAGCCATCCTGACTTTCACATTGTTCTCGGAAAGATAAGAAATCGGTGTCGTCCGGTATCTGAACTGGCATCTTGCCTCCCGGTGCTGTGGATCAGTGTCTGCAGGGCTAAATGCTCCTCTCATAAATGCTACTAATCCGCTCGTTTGTGTTGTCTCTACACCACTTATCGTCGTTTTCCACTTACTTTTAGTCAAAAAAATCCGTTTTCTAGTTTAGTCTAACTGCTGCGCATGCTATGTGCTGTGTATCTAATGTATGATGGAGCAGGTGGATTTGAGCATCCTCTTCAGTCCTGCATCAGTCCCATACTGGAGAGACGCATTATATAAGTAAGGCAAGGCATCACGTTACTGACATGTCGTTTTTCAGGTGGAGCAGTCTGCACGAGCTCATTTAGTCAGACTGGCTGATGATCTACGGATCAGGTGTCATGTTTGTCAATTCAAAGGATGTCTTTTCCGTGCCTGTTTTGTTTAACCTGTGCAGGTGTGTAGCCTGAATCCAGCTTCTACTGTTTCGTACTCTCTCACCTTTTCTCAGCCTTACTCCTTTTTAGCATATTGGTGCACGGGGAAAGTAAAAGTCAGCTTTTTTTTACAGATTAGTCCTACTTAAGGATTTGAACAAACATCTCCCATCAGGTCTAGAAGCACTATTTTTGTGTAATTTTAAAAGCAGATTTCTTTCGAAGCCTGTAAAATGCATAGCCAGAACATTCAGGGAACCCAGCAACCAAAAAATATTAATCCTATAAAGAATTATAGGCATTTAAATGTCAGATGAACTGTAAAAGTCTACCTGAAACTTCCATTTGTCATAAAACAAAATGAATGTTGTTTTGTTTGGATGTTAAGGGGATGTTAATAAAATAAGGATATATTTGGATTTCCTTCATAAACTCTGGAGCTCGGTATAATAATAAAATGGGATTTTGTGTGCACTGAAATGAGGTATTGGGTGATTTATCTTCACTTGAGTAGTTGAGTCATCCTTATGAAGCATTGCCCATCCTCAATTAAGCAGTCTGCTATTGTCAGTCACATCATGGGAAAGAGCAACGTCAGTCTTAAGGAATCCACTGCAGGTGCCAAATAATATAGGCTGTCAATCTGCTGCTTTCTTGAGCTTTAACAATGAAAATCCCCTTCCTTTGTTCATCTGAAAAACACTTACAGCAAAATACAAAGTAACATTTACAAAATGAGCAAACCAGTGTAAAGACACACAAACTACACTGGTTTGTCGATTTTTACTCTAATTTTTGGAGGCTTTTATACTGCCACGGGTCTGTGTAATCCAACAATAAAGACACATGACAAAACAGGGAGACTTTAACGAACGCCAGGCGATTTAAAATGAGTACACAACAACACAGAACAAACAATAACAATAAATGAGTGCTTATATGCTACAAAAAAAATGTTAATCACTGAAACGAGGAACAGGTGCTAAAAACCACAGTAACAAGACGTAAACAGACATAAACAAGACCATAAGATACATTTATGAGGACGCTGAGGATCTCAAAGAAAAAGTTTATTGCAGCATAACAGTGACAAAGCACCTGAAGTCAGAATGAACCCTGAACACCCTAAACTCAAACCTTTTGTTACAAATAAAATGTACTAATTGCTCCTGTTGTAACAGCTGAGGTCAGTTTGTTAATAAAGTTCAGCCACCCCATTGTCTGAAATGGCTCTCAGTTTCCCCACATCTGTTCTCATTCTACAATTGGTGTCCATTTGCTCAGGATTGGATCACCCCAAATAGGGCAGAAACAACATTACTGTTGACTTTCTTCTCTATAATTAAGCACTTTTTGGAAAAGAATATCAACTATTTTGGAGTGGAATCTGGATTGGGGCAGTCTTAGTTTCTAAAGACTAAACAGAACAATAGTCACATGTGCCCCATGACATTATTTTGCCAATATAAAATGTTGCCTATTTCAATCAGAAGCACATAAAGGGGTTATATTTACCATATAGAGGGCACTAATAAACTTCTCGAGACAATGGTTCTTAACCGCGGGCCAGGGCTCATCTTAAAATAAGATGAAACAAGAATTAAATAAAGATAAAACAACTGACAATCAAGTTGTTTCTTATTTTAATTATTTGAAGAAATAATGTTCCCACTGTCTTGAAAAACCAAAGTGAGGTATCCTAATTTTAAAGTGTGATAGATTTATTACACATTTTTCTAGTGATGCCAAGCTCTGCCAAGTAGATTTTGGGATAATTACACTGTTAAAAGTGATCAGTTGACAGAACTTAAAAAAAAAAGTGAGCAAACCCGTTGCCTTAAAATCATTAAGTAAAAAAAAACTTTAAGTAAAAAAACGTAACTTTTTTATAGTTAAGTCAACTGATCACTTTTTTACAGCTATAGTCAAATAGATAAATATGCAGTAAATCACAAACTGGAAAAGTCATGAAAGCTTTGAACAAAACATTGTTGTTACAGCAGACGTACGAGCAGAGACATATGGGGGCCCTTTGAATACTGTTGTGGACAATGGGGGGCCTTGGAGTCAAAAAGTTTGAAAGAACCACTTCTTTAGGATGCAAAAATAAATACTATGCATACTGCAACAATACAAAACCCCAATGCAGTAATAGCCCCTCACCCCTCCATTTTATATTAAGATGATGGCACACTAAATTATCTGTTTTTTTTTTTTTTTTTTTTTTACCATGCTATGATCTCTGCGGTTATCTTTAGACAGCCTCTGGTCATCTCCACACCAATCGTGTAGACTATGTGCTGTCCAGCTGTCCAGAAAGGCTTTGCTGTGTTGCTGGAATGTTTTTTGATGATCTCAGCCTCCTCCTCCTCCATGTGGCAGGGTCATGAGATCACTCAGGGTCTCCTCTTTCCCTGTCCTGTAATGTGGCTCAGCAATAGGGTTCACTGTGTAGACTGATTCATTCCATTAGGGTTATACAAGGGCATTCAGTATGACTCGTCTCACACATCTAAACATAGCTGACACTGAAATATATTGTGGTTTAAGTTTAAGTGGTTATTACACTGAGAGGTTCAGCTAGACCTTTTTCTCTTGTAAAGGAATAGGCTATGACTCTCATCAAACAAATTGTTAAGGGAATCCTGAGAGTGAAGGCCCACAAGAGCACATTATATCGACCTTTTCCCTTAAGGCATCAGACTCAGTAACCTGATCCTGTGTCAACTACAAAGTCTCTCAAATTTATTTCATTAAAATTCTCACAGCAGTCTTTTTTTTTGGCTTGATTGACATGCAACTGAATAAAAAATCACTTTAGTGTCCATGATGACAGATTAGACAAAAAAACACAAAGTCCAAACAAAGGGAAATGTAGACACCCACAGCTCTTCATTTGTTGTCATAGTAAATGATAATATTGTACACCTGTTTCTAGTTTATTGTTTAATATCAATAGTATCCAGTTTCCTTATTTTCCTTGCTGTGTTTCTTTGGTTTTGTGAAGCTGTTGCAGGTTTCCCTGCTTCTGTGTGTTTTGCCTTTTTGGATTTCCTCCTTTCATTTTTGTTTGTATAATAAAGTTAAGCCCATTGGTTCCACATATCATCTCCTTGCCAGCTATGGATACAATTAATAAAAATGAAAAAACATTTTGATCAATTTTTTATACAGTTTATTTACTATAAATAAAGACAACTTAACTTTGAAAAAACGTAATGAATGAATGTTTCACATTATTACATTTAGGGTCTTTAGCGACCCAGATCTATATCTAACATGGATGGATCTCTTATCTGTCGTGATATGAGCAGATTTGAGCAGATGTTTTATATCATCATCACTGTCCTCATCAGAACTCATTTCCCAGTACATTCAGCATCTGGAACATATTAGCCATCATAAACATATTCTCAAAACTATAATTTTCAGCATCTTCAAAATCAATAATTTGATCACTGACAGCTTCTTTATCAGATCCACCATCAAATAACAATGATACTAATATTTGATTGTGTTCTTTCTCGGCAGTAATTCACTGAGCCATTTCAAGTTTTGCTGATGATGCTTCCTATTCTTTTGTTTTCTGCCTGCGGTAAATATGAGTGAAACGTCACTTCATCATTGTGTATCAGACATTGTCATCTTGTGGAATAAAGGTGAATTGCACTTATTTAGTCATCAAAGATTAGTCAGAGATCCTATAGAATTTTTCCAAAAAAGTTAATGGGGAAAAAGGGCATTCTTTTATAATTTAAATGTTTTTTTATTGTTATATTGTTAATTAACTGATTGAGAAATACTGTTGATGTCTAACTTTAAAAAATAAATGAGGAAGAGGGTATAGTGAATGTCGTCCCGGGTCACTAAAGACCCGAGGTGTGTTTAAGGTTTAATGTTTATTGTGATGTCTATATTTATCATATTTTTTGTTATGTACTAACAAAAGAAAATGCCAGAATTTTTTTTTATAAACACCCAATTTCTGCAGTAAGCAATGTGTTCTGCAAATCAACAATCTGTTGCCTAATTCAGAAAATGAATTTCTTTAAAACTTAATCCATGCACTGTAAAAATGAATATGCTTTATCTAATCAAAAAAAAAAATGTGGCAACAGATTATAAGCAATGTTATTAATTTAATTGAACAAATTTGAATTGAGTAACATTTAATCAAATTAATTCCTTAAAAGTTAGCCATTTAAAATGAGTAAAACTTACAACAACAACCAAAAAAACATAAATATGAGATATTTTTGTTACATTTTTTGGTGTAAACTTTATTCATTTTAAATGGTTAACTTTTAAGGAATAATTTGATTAATTATTACTCAATTCTAATTTGTTAAATTTAATTAATACTATTGCTTGTAATCTGTTGCCGCAATATTGATTAGATAAGCATTCATTTTCATGTATATAATGCACTTTAACAGTCATTTCACTTATTTCACTGTACGACAGCCCTAAACTGGAGTGAGCGATAATAATGACGTGCATTTACTTGCAAATTTAAGTCACTTGAAGTATTAAGACCTATAATACATTAGATTAAAAGCCATATTACTCAGATACAGGCATAAACACAGACAAAGTGGGTGGATGCAATCCAAGAAAAAATTACAAAAATAAAATAACCCTTGCTGGAGGACATTTTAAATACATTTTGAATTGTCTCCAGATTTCCGCCTAGCTGACCTCTTCAGCCGATTCATCGACTGACTGGAAAGATGCTCTCGTTGTTTATGTCAGGGATTCCTTGCAACTTATGTTGTAACCATGAGAATGTTCTCCTATATACAAAGCCACCTGTTATACATTTCTTTACTTTGATATACAAAGATCCAGTA